ATCACTGACGTTTGTCAACAAAATGGTGCTTGACTCTTGAGACAGGCTAAATTACACCATATTGTTAGTTACATTGAGCATACATTTTTTTAAATACCTTCGCGAAGTAAAACTTCAGTACGTAGTACTTATTATTATTCTGTGATAGCACGCTGTGCAACTTTGAGCTTCTGTATTATAAGGCTTCAGGAATGCTCACGATGGTCGTATTACAGCGTTGCACGTGCGTACGCGACAACGCGGCGCGCGTCGGCGCGGGTCGGGCGCGACGACGGGCCCCGCGCGCTCGCCTGCTCTCCAGCTGGCCTTGGAGCTCCAGCATCGCGCCTCCATGCCCGGTGAGATATTATATTATTTTTTGTTGTAAGATTTTTTTATTTAAAAGTGTAACAGGCGTCGATGCTATGATAAACTTATGGAAAGGTGAAGATTGAAATGAAACCCCCAACGTAGATGTAGGATATGTATTCATAAAATGGGGGCGTGTACTATTAGGTAAACCCACTAAGTGCAGAGTAACTCTGCAAACTAAGCGCTCCTTAAGCTAAGTGTTCTTCTGAAGCTTCAACTTACAATGGTTCGTCATTGCCCATGTAAGCGTCCGAGAGGAAACTTACACCGCGATGTAAGTGACACACAACGCCATCTAAGAATAAGAATAAGAGAATAAGAAATTTATTCATAATGTTCATTACATGTCAAATTTTCAATATATTTTCTTATTAATAATAAACAATTGCAGTATTAATAAGAAAGAAATACACATCATGTCCAAATAAATTTATAATACAAATAGAATTAATGTCAATTAAATGTCAAAATAAATAGTGGGTAACAGTGTCAATAATAATTAAATTCCAAACAGTTCGTCAATTTTATAGAACGCCTGCTCGATCAACCACTTTTTTAGTTGAAATTTGAAAGAATGGAGTGATACCGCTTCTTTCACTATTTTAGGCAGTCGGTTGTATACTTTAGGCCCCAATACGTGCGTCAAAGAGTCAGACTTTCGTAGTCTACCTGCAGTCGATACTAGTGCTTCGGCGAAGCGAGTATTATAGTTGTGACGATCCCTATGTCTCACAAATGAGTCCAGGTTCTCGCGCGTGTATATAGCTACCTGGTAAATTACTATGGACGGCAGGGTGAGTATACCTAGGTTTCTGAAGTGAGGCCTAACAGTTGTTCGCTGCGATACCCGTACAATGGCCCTCACAGCGCGTTTCTGCATCCTAAATACCCGCTCTCGGTCGGCACCGAGACCCCAGAGCTCAGCACCATACTGCAGCAGCGAGTGCACGGTTGCGAAGTAGCATGTTCGCATCGTATCTTCTGCTACTACCCGAGATAGTCTGGTCAATGCGAAGCACGCGCTCCCCAACTTTCCACACAACTTATCCATGTGCGAGGTCCATGTCAGGCCCCGATCTAATTCGAAGCCCAAAAAGGTAGTGGATTGCACTTGTTCAAGTCGAGTTCCCTCTAATGTCACACTAACTGGCCTATCGGATTTCCCGGATAGTGAGAAATGTATAAAATGTGTCTTTGTCAGGTTAAGAACTAGTCCGTTAGTCCTGAACCAGACACCGAGTTCTGATATTGTTGTGTTCAATTTCGACTCAAGTTCATCAATACCAGGCGCACGCACGATCGCAGCAATGTCGTCAGCGTACATCAAAATGTCTCCAGTCTTAATGTACTGTGGGAGATCATTCAAAAGCAATGAAAACAGGATGTTAGATACTGAGGAACCCTGCGCTACCCCCATTGTCGTTGTTACTGGTTCAGACTTAGATCTGCCTCTATTTCCTACTACTACCTGAGATCGACGGCATAGTAGATCTGTTAACAGTCGATGGGCATTACTACGGATTCCGTAATACAGCAGTTTTATTGATAGTGCTTTATGATCAGCAACGTCAAATGCCTTTGATAGGTCGCAGCAGAGCACTGCCACATGCTGCTTCCGTTCGCGGGCATCTACTACTCGGCGCACTACCTCTCTCGCGAGCGATGTCGTCGAGCGGCCGGCGCGGTACGCGTACTGTTTGTCGGACAGCGTGTCTGTGGAGCATAGGTACTCTGTTAGACGAGTGCTGAGTCCGTTTTCGAAAATTTTTGCGATCGCAGGTATCACTGACACCGGTCGGTATTGATCCATATTGTCACGCCTACCTTTCCCCTTAAAGAGAGGTGATATTTTACTCGTCTTAAAGCTAGTCGGGTAGACACCCTCTTCGAGACATTTATTAAACATGACGGATAGCACAGCTGAGATCTGATTCGCGCCTTTACGCAACATGTTCATTGAGATATCGTAAATATCGTTTGTTGGTTTAGGTGGTATACGAGACACGATGATTTTCCAGACCTCTTCCGCAGTGAATGGTTTTAGTCTCATGGAGCGGTCTGCGATTGGTAACGCAGCGCTCAGTAACGCTTGGACCCTAGTGGTGTCAACGGAAGGCGCACCACAGGCTGCTGCGGCACTCGCGAACCTACAATTCATGGCATTAACTACGGCTGCCTTGGATTGGTAAACTTGGCCATCCGGATTTTTTACAACATCCGTAAAATCAGCGGCAGGAGCACTGGTTTTTCCTCTCTCGCAGTTCACTACCCTCCACATAGCCTTAGAGGCATTCGTACTATTCAAAATAATATTTTTGTAATAATTGTATTTGTTGGAGTCAATTAATTGAATATATTTTTTATTAATAATGTCAATTATGTTATTCATTACGTCATTTGGTGGAAGTCTATTTGCTAATCTAATTAAGTCAAAAAGAAAGTTCTTACATTCTATAATATCGTCGTCAATCCAGGTTTCCGAAATCCGTACCAAAGCAGATCGAGATCTTGTTAACAATTACATTAATCACTGCACTCGCTAAGGCGTCGGCATTGATACCTCTACGCGTTATTATCTCTGACCAGTCTACACTGTCGAGGGTCGCCACGAACAAGGCAACACGTTCCCGTGAGTAGGATCGGGAGACACGGGAGTGCAGTCCCGGGCGCGCAGGCGCACACATCTGGACCTCCGCGCGCACCGCGAAGTGGTCACTCAGGTTTGTCATCACCGGTGAGGTTAATATTGGCTCGGTCAAATTTGTGTATACGTGATCAAGACACGTCGAGGACGTGGGTGATACACGAGTGAGGAATTCAACTTCATTTCTAAAATTATGCATCGAGAGCAAGTCAATCAAATCCTTCTGTACGGGGCCTAAGTCACCAATACAGTTGATGTTAAAATCTCCTACGATTACGCAATCAATATCCATGTCACAAATTTTGTCGAGCAGGCGATCCAAATGACATAGAAAGTCCGTTGAGCTTATTAGGTTAGTACGATATACACAAACTATTGTTAATCTATAATCTACAACATCAATGGCGGATATTTCGCAATATTGTTCGACCGACAACGCCGTCAGTTCGACATTTTCGTTGCAATTTATATTTGCTTTTGTGTAAATACACGACCCACCGTGAGATATTATTTTTGAGTCCCAATGACACAATAAACTACTAATTTTATAATTCATAAAATAATGGGATCAGGAAATTGGCTGCTGTGTGACAATATTTGTCTCGAAGTTCTGATAGGGTCCAAAATATTAAGGAGACATGTAAAGCCCCCTAAGGACTACCTTTTTTTTCTTATTTTTGTTTTAGGTGTTCATAAGAAGTATATACAAAAATACTAAACAAAATTGAATAAATATTTTCCATTAGATTTGATTTGAATATCTGTTATTTCAGGTATTCCCAAGACAAACAACAGAACTCGCTCTCGAATGAGTTCTCGAAGCGTCGCTGGCTGCGGATAGTTGTGCTGGTGCTCCAAATGGCTCCCATCCTGAGATTTGCAGATGCTTTCATGTGAGTACAAAGATGCAATGGCATTCTGCTTTTTAAACCGACTTCAAGAAATGAAGTGGTTCTCTATTCGTCTGTATGTTCTTGCCATTTAAAGATATGAAAGAACCCATATTTTATCTAGAAGCTACAATTTAACGACAGGAAAATTATGTAGAACTTCTATTTTTAACTCAAAATGTCGCCGCATTATCGCAACATAATGTTACCTACTTCAAATTAATTAATTGTTATTATGTGTTTATTAAATATGCGCGGCGCCAGATTAATCACCGGGAAATCCGTTTGGTAGGTTCAGTGCAAAACGTTCTGCACTAACTATGTGCTTTACAACATTGCTGATAAAAGACCATGACCATTGAACCATAGTTAAACTGGAATTCTTTTCCTTTGGCAAAATAAACACTGCGACATACGCGGTATTTATTTTGCCAGAGGAAAATAATTCCAGTCCCTAATAAAGTAATACTCGTGACCATTTACAAGCTCATAGCAGATTTATCAACTCGGAAAGGCAACAACACCGTATCGCCTTTCGCGCGCTGTCAATCGTGAGGCGAGGAGTTTATGTTACGGTGCGGATAATATGGAGTTTCATACAAAGAATACTGACCGCCTCGAGTTGATACCGTTACGATCCCTTTCCGGGTTGATAAATGTACGACGTCCTTAATTCAGAAATCGCTGAACACCATTTTATTTTACCCGAGGTACTTCACTTCAACAAGCGATCGCAAAACTGCAAACTTGGTTTAGGGATAGTTTAAAATCACTCAAAAGTAGCAGTATAAAATTAATGAATGCTGCTGACAACGCCACTCTGGTAGCGGAGTTTTGGGCTGACACTGTGTAGGTTTGTTGTCGACACGATAAAAAGACCACTGCAAACTCCTACTTTATCAACAGCTACGCCTTAAAGTGTCGTCGCGCCGAGCGCAAACAGGACCCCACGTCCCAGCGGCAGTACTACGCCCTGATGCTGAAGGAAGACAGCGATGCTGCACTGCTGAGGATCTTCGAGTGTTTCCTGGAGGCCGCGCCGCAACTAGTGCTGCAAGTCAGCTTGCTGCTGCGCGGAGACTATCAGTTCACTGGTGAGTGGTGAGAGACTAAACCAGCAGGATTCAACAGCGGCTGACTGTGGCCTCATGCAGGAGGACAGCTACGCGGTGTCCTTGTCCATCTACCTACACCACAATGAATTTGTGGAGATCGAACGATAGAACGGTAGAACACATTCCAGCGGCTGTGCACTGGTGAGGTGGACTATAGAGAGTCAACAGGAATCAACAGCGGCAGTACTACGCCCTGATGCTGAAGGAAGACAGCGATGCTGCACTGCTGAGGATCTTCGAATGTTTCTTAGAGGCTGCGCCGCAACTGGTGCTGCAAGTTAGCTTGCTGCTGCGAGGGGACTATCAGTTCACTGGTGAGGACTGTAGACTAGTAGGACACTTTCCAGCGGCTGTACACTGGTGAAGTGAGCTATAGAGAGCCAGCAGGACTCATCTAGCGTCTGACTGCGGCCTGCTGAAGGAAGACAGCGATGCTGCACTGCTGCGGATCTTCGAATGCTTCTTAGAGGCCGCGCTGCAACTGGTGCTGCAAGTCAGCTTACTGCTGCGTGGAGACTATCAGTTCACTGGTGAGAACTGTAGAACAGCAGGATACCTTGAGGCTGTGCATTAGTGAGGTGGATTATAGAGAGCCAGCAGGACTCATCTAGCGGCTGACTGCAGCCTGATGCAGGGGGACAGCGACGCGGTTCTGTTGCGCTTTCACGAGTGTCCAGGAGGTCGTTAGATTATAAGTTTACTGGTGAGGAACTCTAGGCTAGCAAGACTTATCCAGCAGCTGACAGCGCCCTGATGCTGAAGGAAGACAGCGATGCTGCACTGCTGAGGATATTCGAGTGCTTCTTAGAGGCGGCGCCGCAACTGGTGCTGCAAGTCAGCTTGCTGCTGCGTGGGGACTATCAGTTCACTGGTGAGGACTGTAGACTAGTAGGACACTTTCCAGCGGCTGTACACTGGTGAAGCGAGCTATAGAGCGCCAGCAGGACTCATCTAGCGGCTGACTGCGGCCTGCTGAAGGAATACAGCGATTCTGCACTGCTGCGGATCTTCGAATGTTTCCTGGAGGCCGCGCCGCAGCTGGTGCTGCAAGTCAGCTTACTGCTGCGTGGAGACCATCAGTTCACTGGTGAGTGGTGAGAGACTAAACCAGCAGGATTCAACAGCGGCTGACTGTGGCCTCATGCAGGAGGACAGCTACGCGGTGTCCTTGTCCATCTACCTACACCACAATGAATTTGTGGAGATCGAACGATAGAACGGTAGAACACATTCCAGCGGCTGTGCACTGGTGAGGTGGACTATAGAGAGTCAGCAGAAATCAACCAGCGGCAGTATTACGCCCTGAAGCTGAAGGAAGACAGCTACGCTGCACTGCTGAGGATATTCGAGTGCTGCTTAGAGGCGGCGCCGCAGCTGGTGCTGCAAGTTAGCTTGCTACTCCGTGGGGACTATCAGTTCACTGGTGAGGACTGTAGACTAGTAGGACAATTTTCAGCGGCTGTACACTGGTGAAGCGAGCTATAGAGAGCCAGCAGGACTACACCCTGATGCTAAAAAAGAGGATAGCGACGCAACACTTCGATTGACATCCATTCCTATGACCTTGCCCACCACAACTAATTTGTGGAGGTCGTCTGATTACCGCATTAAGGGCCACGTTGCATCACAAACTCATCATCTGCAGGTTATTTGCTCTCCGACCCGGCCTGATTTACCTCAGGCAAATGGAGAAGCTCGACGCTAGACGGGTTGAAAAAGACTGATGTTTGCATATTTCTCTGTTAGTCGCCTTATACGAAACCCCTGGGAAGAGTGAGGGTTGTCCTATACTACTATACCTGACGGAACCCCACAGCTAACGCCCGTATTCACAAACATTAACCCACTTGTTACTAGCGTTCTTTTAAAAGAACGCTAGTTTTTACATAAATATTTTTACTAATGTGGGTAGTTTAAACAATTTTAATATGCAACATTTGAAAGATGAGGTGTGTCGCAGTACTGTCCAAGTCTTATAAGTACACTGACGTAAATAACTATAAAGTTTTGGAGCGATTGTTTTGAGATAAATTTATCATGACTGATTTAAGGTAAGTGATAGAAAAAGTTAATTCCGTAACAAGTGGGTTAATATACAAGCATTCTCACAGTGCGCGTGGACGCACAGGGTGACACACGAACTAATCACAGAGCTCTATTCACTTGAGCAAGAATCGTTTGTGAATACGGGCGTAACTCAATTTCGTTCGTTTCAGCCAAATGACGTCCACTGCTGGACAAAGGCCTCCCCCAAGGTTTTCTACAATGAACGGTCCTGCGCTGCCCGCATCCAGGCTCTTCCCGCGACCTTTACCAGATCGTCGGTCCACCTAGTAGGAGGCCTGCCCACGCTACGTCTTCCAGCCCGTGGTCGCCACTCGAGAACTTTCCTGCCCCAACAGCCATCGTCTCTACGAGCTATGTGCCCCGCCCACTGCCACTTGATATTAGCAATTCTGCGAGCTATGTCGGTTACTTTGGTTCTCCTGCGGATCTCCTCATTTCTGATTCGATCACGCAGGGAAAGAACTCAATTTAATACGGTGTAATAAGGTGCCTAAAGTGCAGCGTTATAGCTCTTAAATATTTCCTTCCAGTGCACCAGATCCTGTCGATAACCTCGTCTTTAGCCAGCATGGGCTGGTGCCTGGCGGCGTACCAGCGCGCGTTGCGGTTCGCGCAGGAAGACAAGCTCAACATGAGCTGGCTGGGATCCGCCATGCAGACCGCCTGGCACTATCTGCTGTCCAGTAAGTTAAAACTCATTTATAGATCGTTTCATCCACGAAGACGCACCCTACCATTCTTCCGCTAATGTTTGAGTGTTATCGGTACACCCTAAATCACCCATGAGTGCACACGCACACTACAATAATGACGCTCGGATTGCTCGGATCAAACTCCCCGCACCCCGCGCGACTGAGACCAAAAATTGGTGGTGCGCGCCAATTTTCCACTCAATGACGGTTTTCGCGATTGAAAAATCCGCCAGATGGCAATACGTAGACGCGAGGTCCAAATGCTGCTTGATTGGTTATTTTTGACATGACATTGACAGATATGTCAAAATCCACCAATCATGCAGCATTTGGACCTCCCGTCTACGTATTGCCATCTGGCGGATTTTTTAATCGCGAAAACCCTCATTACTCACCAATGTGGTTTTCAATTTACGCCAATGCCTTTGCATCTTTATACATTTAGGAATATTACATACATATAAAATCATCTTCACTAATGTTCTTATCATAATAACACTTGCTCCCGGCGACCTTCGAATAGCAACCGCAGTTTTTATCAAAAATGATTCATACTAAAACTTTGCCAATGACACATCCTATAATAATAGCTGAGAACTGACTGAGTGATAACATTTGAACCCAATACCTACCATCAGGCTGTAGTTACGGAGGTCACTGCAAATTATTACATTGAAATATTGGCTACTGATAAGACTTATTCAATGAAAATTGACACGTATGTAACAGTCATAGCTCATAACTGACTAGGTCCCTACGGTATACTTGGCATAGAGGAGTCGTTAATTGCTCTATGATACTTGGCGTCACGTAAAAAGAGCGGTGGCTAAAATAGGAACTAACATTTTCCGTACTGTTTTGTGTTCGGTGGAGAGACATGTAGCGCCCCTTCAACGCTCTTTTTATTTGATGAAAATTATAGTAGCTATCGGTGCGGGAGGGATGTAATGTAACAGAGCTGTCATACTAAAGTCTTGCAGCATTTGACTTAAAAAATAAACATCTCCCGGCCCAGTGGCGGCGTAGTATGGGTTGTCACCCGGGGCAGTACCACCCCCCCCCCCCCTCATAAGTCCATAATTAAAGTTGGGTATGCCCCACCCCCCAGGATTTTTTGGTACCGATTCGAAGATGAAAGATGTACGAATGATGAATGCAGATGCGCCAGCGAGTACTAATTTGCGCAACTGTTGTCACCCCCTGATGCTTGGCACCCGGGGCGGACCGCCTTACGCCGCTAGTGTCCCGGCCCGCTCCACAGCCGCAGGAATCTATGCAGCCAACTTTTAAAATCAGGTTGTCTTTTAATTTGAATATTTTCTTTTCAGTGAGCAGAGTGATATCATTATCACTGATGGCGTACCTCTTCCCACACTGGACGGTGCTTGCCTGCGTCATACACATCCTCATCATGACAGCGTGGATTCAAATCTTCGAACACCCTATATTCTGCGTACGCAAAATAGCTGAGCTAGCGTTCGCCCTAGCTTTAGGAGCTGTATACCTTTTCACATACATACTGGCGGTCGAAGGCAGAACTAGGTACAGATACGCAATTTATTATAGTATATGCTTCTGCCAAAATGTGGTCTGTGGCGCCATATGGTATATCTACGCTGGAAACGAAGATAGACAGTCTGGACATTTTACACCGTTACTGGTGTTGACCGTGGTCCCATATGTGATAGGGTTGGTGATCATGGTGCTGTATTATTCGTTCTTCCACCCCAAACTGAGAAAAGGAGTAGTTAGGGAGACAGATATAGCTGTTACGTTTAAAAGTGAACAGGCTGAGGTTAGATAATAAATAATAATACTTATTATAATGGCATATCTCACAGACGTGATTGACCTGACCCAAGGATTAATTAGTGCAGATGGTAAGAAAATAATGTGCCAAGAGCAAGTACCTAGTATGAATATCTTGATGCCAACTTTGTCTTCTATCAAATGTGAATCATAGAATAACAGATAATAATTTGTTACCTACTTATATCTGTAATATTATGTAATCTATACGTAAGTAAGGTTTTGTCTGACCAATGCTCAATTTTGTGTATTGTTGAACCAGTGCATGTTCAGTGTAGAACAGGTGCCTACACATAAAATACTTTTAAATTAGCATGAGATTTGATTTTGTGATAAGTAAAAATGAAATCGTAGATAATTAAAATGACTAGTGTAAATATTGCCTAGTGATATAAAGAACCAAGACTGCCTCGTTTTTTAACTATTTTAATGTAATATTTTTGTAGAAATATTCCTAATGTATGTTGGTACTTATTGAATCTCTGTAAAATACTACAATGCATTTTAATGCAATTATATTTTTAATAAAACAATGTTTACATATTATAAAATTTTATTTTTGTCTTCTTATTTATTAATTTTATATCATATACTTTACAATTTAGGTCAAGAGAAGCATTACTCATTATTACAATGTGACATTCCATATAATACACCATCTTGTCACATCACAGTCATGGTTGGTTCTCTCACCCACATTGGTAGGAGGGTGACACCAACTATTACTATCTAATAATTAAATAAAACCTAATGTCACCAAATAAAAGGAGCTCTTTCTCGTAAAATTCTCAGCCCAAACTTATTCCATTCGCTCTGGTTGATCCACAACTCAATAGCGGACTCCAAACAAGACATAACTGCTGCTCCTTTCCAAACCGTACTTGCTGGATCGATGTCCTTTGGTGACGTAACTATTTCTAGCTGCTCAGTCTTATATGCATAGGGTATCTGTAAAGCCAACCGATTCTGGAGCCACAAATACAACCCATCTACCTTCACACCTCCACCAACTATCAGAATATTACTGTACATTTTACGTTTTAATTCCTCACTTGGACATCGGTCAATGCTCTGTAATATCGCAGCGTCTAGAGCCAGAACTTGACCAGGTGCTAATGATACCACGTCTCCAGGACCACCTTCTAAAGCATCAACAACAATATCCTCATCTGGGTTAGCTGATGGCTGAGATTCATTCACAGCCTCAAACTGCTGGCTTTCATTGGCAGCTGGGTCCGCTGTTTCACGTTTTCTACCAGTTTCTCTCAGAAACTCTGCATCAAAAGGATCTTCAGGGTCACTAGGAGGACGGTTCTGAATTTTTGTAGTTTTTGGGCCAGTTATTTTCAATAGATCAGTGTAGAACATTGATAGTGGTGAAATTATGCATTCATCTCCAACTTGTAATGTGTATTTGTTGACTACATCTCCAGGATGGTCCACAAAGAACGTTTTTTCCTGTGGACCGCAAACATCTAGGTTTACGTGACAGAAATTCTCATACAAATTCCTCATTAGTATCACATCTCTTGGTATGTTTTCTGTCCAATCCTTGTAGGGAAATGCACTCTTATGGAACATCCAGGACAATGCTTGACACACATCACCAGCTCCATAGTCCATTCGTAATCTTGTTGTCTTGTGTGATATGCAGTCTTCAACACAAGATATAGCAGTTTTTTGGTCACCAATATCAACTACACAAGCTGAGCCAATGCCAGCACCAAATGTAGCACCAACACTTTCTTGAACTAGAAAACAGTGGCCAAATCCTAGATCTCTCAGTAATAGAGACATTAGGCATTTTAGATGACTTCTGGAGTAAATATCAGGTATTAGCAGCACACATCTGTATTTTACCAGTTCTATTAAAGGTATTCCTAGTTTGTACTCAATGATGGAGCTCCATATGGTGTACAAATCGTTCAAAACTGAAGAAACTGAACCACCTACTTCAGAATGTAAATTAAAATCCCCTCTTCTATATGGAAAATGTATGTTGTAAGGTAGTTCTGGGTCGATATCTAGGACTAGATCACCAATGACAATTTCACACTGAACTTGAGGCCATGGTTCTCCATCGTTAACGCTTTCTGGCAAAGATCTACGGTTAAAAGCGGCTATTTGTTGAGGGGGCGTCGCGTACCGACGGGCTCCGTTCGACTGGACACACGTCTGAAGAGTGTGGGATATCTGCAGACGACATTCTTCAAGCTCTTCAATCAAATCCTTCGTTTTTGGGACGCTTGGTGGTATGAACGGGTCCCGATATATTTTTCCGCCAGGACGACGTTTCCTTGCAATGCAATGCAGTTGTTTGACTGGAAGAAGGTCTGAAGCTCTTCCTATTCTCACGTAGAGTGATCCTGGGTGGATCACGATGATCCTATTAGAAGGGAACTGCTGGAAATGTTCTGGACCTGGGTCGTACGTCGGCATACTCATTTTACAGGATATTTACTTCCCCAAACTGGTTTGAGTAAACGCTCGTGAATTTTGAGAGCTAGTCTCGTTGTAGAATTCTTCAAACCACCCGTATTACCATAAAATCTGAAAAATAAACAAATCAGCCAGAAAACTAACCTTTCTGTTTTTTGACATTAATGACACATTGACTTCGTTTCACGTACGTTTCGAAATCGTAACGACTTGAATTAGGATTTATTTAAATAATCCATGACTTTGAAACCATGCTTTCTATAATTCAGGCTCCAAAAAACTTCAAAATAACTACGCTGAGGAGTATTTTTTGTACAAAAACTACTTGTTGTTGTTGAACCAAGCCAAAGGCCGAAAAGTTATAAAATACATTGTGATTGTGCGTGTGTATCCGAATTCATATTTCTGGCACCATTTGTCATGTTGCCATCCTATGAATATCTCGACAACAAAGGGTAAGAAAACTACTATGGCAGTAAACTTATTAGACAAAAATAACACAAAATTTTAAGTACCTATGAGTTTATTAGTATAAAATAAATTAAAATGATCAAAGACAAAATTGTTCTTGACAAACAAGCGATTTTCTCAAGGAAGTTCAGAGATTTGGTTGACAATCTTATGTGCTTGGGGAAAATTGTTTTGTAGGTTGGGAACCCTCAAATTTGACAGTGTCAAAGTTGACAGCTATCGCGTCACACTAAAAAAATCGCGAAAAATAAATATTTTCGCTGAGTTTTCCGTGATTAGGAAATTAACGCGAAATCATGGTGTCGAGAAGCCTCACTGAGGTTTTCGTGTTAATGCGAAATAATGCAATACACAGCAGACAGATATTTGCCGAGCAGGTGTGGAGAACTTTTATCGATTGCACTGTTTTGGACGTATTTTATGATGCAATTTGTATTAAAAAGACCTTCAAAGGGCTTTTCAAGTACATAGCGGGCTATTTTAATCATTTTCCATTTGTAAGACGGGTAATATTGGGTGAATTTGGGCTATCAATCCGTAATTGTGTCAAGATAAATATTTACTTTCTAAATGACACTGGGACTTCCTTGCCTCAGTTGCCACTTTTTATTATTTCAGCAGTCAGAGAAACATACATTGGGGCTTTTAATAGGGTTTTATAATGATTACATACATTAGGTATTATCAGCAATAAGTTACCAAATTGAACCATTGATAGCTAGTATACTTTCTCATAAAAATTGCCTGGGCTTGGGGGAATAAATACCCTGGGAATTGTACATAATTTGCACTGAAGAAACCTAAAAACACTGCCAGCCATTGCCTAGTAGAAGGGTTGTGCATTTACAGTGGAGGCCAAATTACCTAATCATGATGAAATTATTAAAGTTAAGATAATATAATTTAGACTAGATATAAGGTACATATTCAGGGCTGCTTTTGCCACCAGGGGCCTTAGGCATTTATGATAATAGAAAGAAACATAATGTTTAATTCAGAGACAAAAAAATTAAATCATCAAAATAAACTAGGGGGTCCTTTTTTGTCAAAAGAAAAAAGGAATCCATCAGGGTTTATTCCATTTAGTGGCTGGAATATGCCAGAATGCCAATGGAAAAGAGGGGTGCAGCTTTATAGACTTCATAATCATCATCTTTTAAGCCATAGGATGTCCATTGCTGAACATAGGCCTCCCCCAATGATTTCCATGTTGATCAATTGGTAGTGGACTACGCAGGCCCCTCTTTCCCACTGGGCACTTTGCCCAGTGGGAAAGAGGCAATTTGGCAAGTGCCCAGGGTCCCACGACCGAGGGGCCCCTGTCTACTCAAAAGACCTTTCTCCAGATGATATGGACCCCCTCTTGATCCTTAAGTGCCCAGGGCCCCTAGAAGGTTAAAGACGGCCCTGGGCCTACGACTGTTCGGTGATATTATGGAAGTATTATGTAAACCTGCTTATTTAGAACTTATTTGTATAATTTATAGCAAGGCAACGAGTCGGAGCGCGTGCGTCTGATGCGAGCGAGCTCCCGCGACTTGGAAGCGGGCATCGAACTGCGAGCCGATGGTTGCGCGCCGCCGCCCTGGACCGATGCCTTGGAGGAGGCGCACTACGTCATCACCAGGTAGGTTTCAGGACACCGCCTGTGGTGACTGCAGCAAGCGCAGTCCCGTCACATGAGAGGCGGGTATCGAGCTGCGAGCCGACGGTTGCGCGCCGCCGCCCTGGACTGATGCCTTGGAGGAGGCGCACTACGTCATCACCAGGTAGATTCAGGACACCACCTGTGGTGACTGCAGCAAGCGCAGTCGCGCGAGCTCCCGCGACCGGCAGGCATCGAGCTGCGAGCCGACGGCTGCGCGCCGCCGCCCAGCTGGACCGATGCCTTGGAGGAGGCGCACTACGTCATCACCAGGTACATGTAGTTAATCTACAGCAGGCAATGCTCAACAGTTTGTACCTACTGTATTAAATGCTTCGCCAAATAGAACGTAGGTACCTAGCGCGCTAGAGCGTTAGCCTGACGTCGCGTTTTAGCGCCGAATTGTGCTGCCTGTAGCTGTAGGCCTAGGATGCGCGCCGTGATATGCTAATGTGCCTTTTATCGGTTTAAAGCGATACTCATACTGTCCATGTCGTCTAAAATCAGCGATAAGATTTTATCACGTCGCGCATCGTGCATCTTAGCCCGGCTGGTAGAATGTGGATCAAGCAAGACAAATACAGCGCCGGTGCTAGCAGTATAACGCAACGCTTTGCAACTTTATTACCGCTATAACGCGACGATATTTTACGCGTTTTTTTGCGAAGACGTTATAAAACACGCACGTGAAATGATAAATTGTGTCAACTCCAAAAAATCGATTTTCAAGTTAATATCTTATAATTACCTTTTTAAAAAAATAAAACCGACTTCAAATGCGTGAACACAAAAAAAACTAAAAATTAAAAATATTGCGTATAAAAAAGTTCATCCCCAATTTTCCACCCTTAGGGGTGAAATATTTTCTTCAAATTCGCATGAAACCACCCTTTTGATAATACCTATTCAACAAAAAAATAATCGTTCAAATTGATTTATAATCGGCGGAGATATTGCGTATAAAAAAGTTCATCCCCAATTTTCCACCATTGGGGGTTGTTTTTTCTATTATTAAATTTAAATGGGACCACCCTTGAGGTATTACCTATACGCCGAAAAAAGATTTGTTCAAATCGGTTCATAATTGGCGGAGTTATCGCGTAACAAACATAGAAAAAAAAAACATACGGGTCGAATTGAGAACCTCCTCCTTTTTTGAAGTCGGTTGAAAACGACATTTTATCTATAGATATTATAATAAAATTGTATTTATATGAATTCCCGCCCAGGCTAAAGACAAAGCTGTCCGAGCTGCAAGCCCGCCACGAGCGCCAGATCCGGCGGCCGGCGCTGGACGACGCGACCGAGCAGCAGCACATCAGCCGGCTGACGTCAGAGATCGCGCGCCACTTTGGGCACGCGCACACACACTTAGGAGCCATCAAGGCACAGTGCAGGCATGGTGAGCGACTATCATGTCATTTAGTTTCTACTACAGGGACACGGCCCTTCAATCTACCAGAGGCAAATGCAGTATTTGGCCTACATTCCCCACATTGGCCACTTTAGGTTGGGGAGGCCCAATGTTCGTTTATTTCTCTAGTCGCCTACCACACGGCTACCTATGTAGTTGTTCGTTCGCTTCAGCCGAAAGACGTCCACTGCTGGACAAAGGCCTCCCCCAAGGATTTCCACAAAGACCGGTCCTGCGCCGCTCGCATCCAGGCACCTCCCTTGACCTTCACCAGATCGTCGGTACACCTAATCGGAAGCCTGCCTACGCTACGTCTTGTTGTTGTATTCACCAGAATCATAAGCCCAAATATTTTTTTACAGGTAACAAAACAGAACAGATGCTTGCGACGAACGTCGTGACGGCGCTAGTGACGACGCTCCGCGATCTCAGCGAGGCCTTCCGCAACGCTCAGTCCAACTACCTCAAGTCCCTGACTTCCAGAGAAGAAAGGTCGAACGCCTACTTCGATCTCCCAGACTTCGAAGAACTGAGCCTGAACGATAACGACCTACTACCAGGACTAACGAATAACCAAACAGATTTACTATTTTCTCTACCAAGCACGTCGGGCACACAAAAACATTTTACGGACGAACCAAGCAACGGAGCATTCCAGAAACAAACGCAAAAACAAATGCTGCTTCTAGAAGAAGAAAACACAAGAATGGCGGCAGAAAGAGAACAAGAAGTCAATCAAATAGTTCGGTCAATAGTAGACCTTAATGACATCTTCAAAGATCTAAGCCACATGATCCACGAACAAGGAACCGTCTTAGACCGAATAGATTACAATATCGAACAAACCCAAGTACAAGTGCACGAAGGATACAAACAGCTGCAGAAAGCTGAGAGATATCAGAAGAAGAATAGGAAAATGCACTGTATATTAATTCTAGCGGTCACAGTTATAGTGATGGTGATATTACTGATAATTGTTAAGAGCTAGTAAGACAAAGAGCTAGATAAAAGATGCCTTATATTACGTAGTCATGCAGAACGACTATGGTCTTTGTCTGCAGCCAAATTAGTGAAAGGTAAGAGTTGCTAGAAGCCTATGGCTTTCTTCGGGGCTCGATATGAGAATCCTGAGGCATCCATGGAATTCTCGGGTGTCTCAAACTAATACAGTGTTTCATATCAATGTGTGGAAGCGATTACCAAAGCACATGCTTAATAAATAAATTAAGGATAAACTGGTAAGAGCGTGCGGTGCGTTTAAGTAATTAGGCAGTGGTAAATGGTTTAAGGTAAGGTAAGGGAAATCAATGGTTTTAAATTCTAAGCACTACTGCCTACCTCGATTGAGACTAATGCCCGCCGCTGTCCACAAAGTCATTTATAGTATTGTCACATTTAGTGAGAAAACTTCAAGAAAATTTAGTTTTAATATTTTTTGCTAAAACAAAAAAGTGTTAAACACACGCTATGTACCTATGTCTCTACTATTGATTGTATATACCTAATGTGTTTTATGAAAATATTTATACACAGGTAAAAGTATAGAACATTACAGTAAACAAGGTCCTGTATCTAGCAACTTTACCACAGTCTAAAATTACTAAACCATTATTGAAATCAAATCATTCCTATAGAATATTTTGAAATCGGTCTTAAATGAATTTGTTATTTATAAATGTCGAGAGAATGTATTAAATTACGCTTTATTTATTTGTAGAACTTAAGTGCTGGAAAATTCTTATTTCAGTGTACAAAAGACATTAAATTGATGAAATTTTGTTGTATGTAGTGAACTGTGTGTTGGTTAAATGTGAAAGGTATAAAATGAACTCAATGCGTATTACACATTGAAGATCAACACTTGATTCAATTTAAAGCATAGATTGTGGCTTTTGATTGGTTAAATTTCAATATTATTAATTTAGGTACAAGACAAATCCTAATCCAAATATGACTAAAATTGAGTTGAGTTTTGGTCGTGTAATACGAACCTAAGAAATTGTAGCAATCAGTAATATTATGTGTGCCTAAAAGTATTGTTTTAGTTTATATAAAGTGTACTTACATGCTCAAAAAGTCACCACCCTTACCCGACTGCGCCAGAAAGAGAGTTAGATTTAAAAAAAAAATGGACAGACGGAACCAGATTTGTACTATACTTTAATTCCCCAAAAAACAATCTAGGTCTATTGTGCCTAGGACTGGACTGGATGAATGGCCTTTTGTGGATGTGTATTATTATTTATTACTTCGAATGTCGCCACCACTGCACATGATCTAGTCTGCTGTGTTAGGTGTATTTATTGTAAAAATAAGTTATGTTTTAAGGTATTAATTAATTTATATTTGCGTGTGCATATATTGGATTGGATTGTAAGAAGTACAGTCGATAGTGTATGAATATAAAAAAATATTTTGATTGCATGAAATTGGTGAGATTATCTAAATATTGCATATCGTCAGCTTAAACATGCAAGCATAGGTACACTTTTCCCAGGCGAGTACAAAAATGGAATGATATTGCACCATTGACCAAAAATACACAAAATATTATTTATTATTTATTATTATAGCTTTGTATTCCACATTTTTACAGTTTGATTCAATTAATCTATATCTCTTGTTTGTGGCCCCACTTGGGTAAAAGCCTCCTCCATCTTTTTCCACCTTTCCCTGTCGCTGGCTATGTGCATCCAATTTTTCCCTGCCTTGTTTGTTATGTCATCGGCCCATCTTTTCTTCGGCCGTCCTACANCACCTGCAGGCTGGGCTATGTGAGGCGAGCGCGGCCGCGGCGTTGGGCAGTCTCGCTCGTAACAGAGCCAACGCTGCTAGCTCGCGGGTGACGTCACCACCCTCTGCTATAGTCTGGTCTGCGAGCACGTAGAATTTTGTCGCTGCGCACTCACTGCAGGCGCTCGTCGCACAGTCGCGACAGCAATATAATTACGCGCGAGCGATAAGGATGGGTAGCTTGGGGTCATTGGACAAAATTCTACGTGCTCGCAGACCGGGCTTTACACCTGTGTATATGTCACCTGCAGGATCTGCTGCAGCGGCTGGGCTATGTGTGGCGGCAGTCTCGCTCGTAACAGAGCCAGCGCTGCTAGCTCGCGGGTGACGTCACCAGCCTCTGCTATAGCCTGGTCTGCGAGCACGTAGAATTCTGTCCCAAGCTACCCATCCTTATCGCTGCGCACTCACTGCAGGCGCCCGTCGCACAGTCGCGACAGCAATATAATTACGCGCGAGCGATAAGGATGGGTAGCTTGGGGTTATTGGACAAAATTCTACGTGCTCACGGACCGGGCTTTACACCTGCTTATATGTTACCTGCAGGATCTGCTGCAGCGGCTGGGCTATGTGCGGCGAGCGCGGCCGCGGTGTTGGGCAGTCTCGCTCGTACCACCCTCTGCTATAGTTCGGTCTGCGAGCACGTAGAATTTTGTCCAATGACCCCAAGCTACTCATCCTTATCGCTCGCGCGTAATTATATTGCTGTCGCGACTGTGCGACGGGCGCCTGCAGTGAGTGCGCAGCGATAATTTTTAAAAACAAAAAAAAAAAAAAAAAAAAAAAAAAAAAAAAAAAAAAAAAAAAACACAAACACAAAATATAAAGTTATTTAATTAATGTACTTTGTGATGAGTGTGCCAATGTCTGATATTGCAACATGAGTTCTAATCTTGTTTTAATTAATTGATACATTTTATCCCCCTACCTCATCTAAATTCATTCACCATAAAAAATAAAACACTTCAAATAAATAAATGATATGCTATTTCAAAAAGTTGTAAATGTGAGTTGGGACACTATTGCTTGACCATCCCCATTCATAATCTTTATTTATTTCGCTGTTCTTTTTAATTATTATTGAAACATGAAGTTCAATATTACTTCCATATAAATATAATAAATGTTAAAAGTTGTTGTACTATGTAAGTGCTATAATTTAAATAAAGTTGTTAATTTATTATTATTAATGACATCATGAGAATAAAAAATATGTACATTGAAATGCACTTGTTTTATTATTTACAGCTCCATACAAATGTGGGACAAAATGGTTTCTAAGGTCCTAGTGGGAAAATGAAAACAATTCACATTGAAACTTGTTATTCTGTGGGTGAAGCCATATGAGATAATTTTATTGCAGAGGTTTAATTCTTAATGAAGTAGGAACATAATAAGAGAAATTAACTATGTGATTAAAACAAGGAATCAATTGCACTAAAGAATTATAATTGTCAGTGATCTCTCAATATATAAACTCCATCTTGCTATTCAAACCGCTGGGACAGGGAGCGATGGCTGCACGTGTAATCGGAAAGCATATTTTATACACCTCTCAAATATTTACCTACAAAAATATATCGCTAATATTATATCTTTACTTAATTATGATGATAGAAATATGCCTATTTTGAAAGCAAATGTTTTAACAATGATATTGAATTATTTAATTTTATCTATTAGAATAAGATATAATTTAAAAACAGTAAATTTTATGCTCAGATTGATCTAGATAGTACCCAACTTGTGCCTGCCGATGAGGCACAATGGACATGATTATAGACGCAAAACTTAACAATGCAAGGACATGATTTAATTCATTTCTATGTACAATTAGTTAAGGCCCATTCACTCCCAGTCCCATTACAAACATACCGGAACATTCACAACACAAAATACAACGCAATTCAAAATGTAATAAGACAATAACCACTATCCAACTATGAGTCTTTGTGTTTATTGTAAAATTCGTCTAAGTATTTTTTATAGGCGGCCTGGTTCGACCAGAGGTACGACGCCTGCTGATTCAGGGGGCTCTGGACGTTGGGTTCTGCCAGCAGACTTTGGATTGACAATAAAACAGTGCGGACGTCATACAGAGCCGTCCACTTGTCCTTTAAAATATCTAAACATATTAATCCGCACATGTCCACGTTTGGATGGAAGCACGGGGTTACAAACTTCACTACTGGAGGCGCGTACGGGTACGAATTGGGGAACTCCAACGATAATTTGTACTTGTGTCCCGCGTAAACGGTGTCCTGGGGACCGTTGATGGTCCCGATCCATTTGAACAGGTTCTCGCATTCGGGGAACGCTGATATACCTTTGTCAGCGCATCGCATAAGTTCCATCAGCTCTTTTTGAAGTCTGCAGACAAAGTAAGAGTTTTAGCAACTGCCCCAAAGTGGTAGGAAAAGAAAAATGCAAGTGCATTGTCTGTTTACTCACCTTTTGCTGACTGCATGATTGTCTTTTAGCTTTATCGTGTCCTCGTTTTGTTTCGACGGGTTAGACGATGAAGCGTAATGAGGATTAATATTTTGAGCCATAATACGACGAGAAAACAAAATCAGATGCCACTAGTTTTCTGTTGGACGATCGACTTCCTGTTAAATTTGAAAAAGCTCAATTTTTATTGGTTAGTGAACTGAACATATTTTTTGACAGCGTAATGGCGGCAATCAACGACGAGCCGCGTCAACGAGAAATAACACGTTATTAGTCTATGACTGTTATTAGTAACGTTATTTTGAAAGAGATGTCATCGTATCACAAGATGGAGACGACAAAAAAATTGCCCATACTGTATACTAAGCGAGTGGCCATAAAATTATGAAACATTTATTTTATGATTATATATTTTGTATCTCATTCGTGGGACAAAACACGTTTTTAGGAGGTTATTTCCTGCTAATAATGTTCTTGATTATATCTGATGGTTTTTAAGTAATAATGTATACGTAAATCAGGTTACCAGTTAAGATTTCTTCCAGTGTTAATGATTGTCTCTTCATTTCGTTAATTCATAATTAGACTCGTAAAAATTACTTGGTCACAGACCACAGCAAATTTTCACGCAATCATACAATACAAAATAATAAAAGTCCCAAGAGACCACTAAACTTTCACTTTCTCCGGTGAATTTAATGTTCATTAGTCCGTGAAATTGGAGATCTGCGTTATGATGATTGAATGCAAAAAAGAAGGGTCTAAGAATCTATTTAAAATCGAGCAACCTATAATTACATTTAGTTTCACTAAGTATTTCAAGCGATTTGACTAGATTAAGAAGTGTTTTACCGCCATGGTGAGTATTAACTATTAGGTATAAATATCTTTTGTATTTTATTGGCTTACACTACTTTGAAAATTTTGAATCCCGGAATCACCTAATAAAAATCCTCGTTGAGAATCCCAAAAGTGAAATCCTTCGTCCTGTGTGTATGACATCATCCATCAGTGACGTCCTTGTGAAATTGATTTTCATTCATTCACTCATTCGTGACTCACTCTTGTCTCTTGTCTTGTGTTTATTTTGACATTGACATTAGCTCTCGACGTTGTTGCTTGTTGTTTGTTAAGATAAATTTCACAATTTCAAGATAATTAAATAAATACAGTGTTCTAAGTTTGTTTGCATCCAACTGAATTAATACTTACCACAAGATAATAAATCAACTGCTAAAATATGGGTTGCCAAGTTTATTTTGAGAACCATCTGGTCTCTCAACTCGATTGCACCAATGTGTCGTCATTGAAACAGAAGATTTCTCAAGAATATGCTGTCCCTTGTGAAGATTTATATGCTACATTCCAAGGGAAGTTAATTGCTGACGATTACGAGTTGAATGACTGCGAAAATGTGGTCAGAGTGTTCACGAGATTGGTTGGAGGGAAGGGTGGTTTCGGATCGATGCTGCGCGCTATTGGGGCTCAGATCGAGAAGACGACTAACCGTGAAGCTTGCAGAGACTTATCTGGGCGACGTCTTCGCGATATTAACGAGGAAAAGCGTCTTAGGAAGTGGTTAGAAGGCCAAGAAGATCGTGAAAGGGAAGCTTTGGAGCGAAAGCAAAGAAAGATTGAGAAATTGATAGCTGAACCGAAGATCGATGTTAATTTGAGTCCTGTATACGAGAAAGAGCGACAGGAATTGCCTGAGAGGGTCAGTGCTGCAGTGGACGCTGGCTGGCAAGCGGCAGGCACTAGTGATGGAGGTTTAAAACGTAAACTGGCCGAAGAAAAACCAAAAGGCAAGAAGAAGGCAAAGCTATGGATAGATGCTGAACTCTCAGACTGTTCTTCGTTGAGTGAGGATGAGGAAGAAGATGAAGCTAGGTCAAAAGACAGACAGATGGTGTCCACAGACAGCGGAAATGAGTCTGACCACACGTCTGATTGTAGTAAATTGTGATAAATGAAACAAGTACAACATTTATATGATTTCTTGTAAATTATGAATGAATAATCATAGAACACCATTAGGTCATTATACTAATAAATAGTCTACTTATAAAACCCTCAATAAATTGGTCCACTTTCAGTTGGGACTATCAATGATATAAACATACATAGTTAATATCAATAGCAGGAAGAGTTCAGTAAAACAGAAGAAACATTACTTATACATTATTTTTCTATGCAAGAAATATGTATTATCATATAGGAAGCATAGATCTATAAAAATATTAAGCTTATATTCCTGTAAAATGAGATAAAGCGCATGAATTTTAAATCCAAATAGGTACCTAAAATATTGACAGATATCCAAGTGTTCATGTAGACTGATGAGTTTTAATTTAGATGCAACCAACTACTTGTTTATCACATCTATTACAATTTTCATTTTACCTGAAATTTTCTAATTTTGATGATACTTATGTGATGATATTGATTTTAGTCAAATATGGTATTAATTTGTACATCTAAATTGGCTAATTAAGTTTTTGTAGGGCAATGTATCTAAACTACCAATTAAATATTTGAAAATATTACATCTGTTTTATTTATTACATTCCTACCCCTTATTTACATTTGTTTAAGGTTTTAATTAAATATAATAATTAAAGACCCACAATAATAAATATCGTATCTACTAATAATTTTGGCAGTCCAGTGAGTCTGACTTTGAGACAAAATAGAAGAATTTTCAAACGAATTCATTTCTAAGCAAGCTGTAATAAATACTTTTCTTGGTTCATTATAGTTTACCATGTGGAGGCTTGTGCTTCTGATGTCGTTGGTGGTGCTCGTGTCTGCGAGGCCCCAGGAGTTTGACGATGAAGAGGACAGCCACGATCCTGCTGCGGATAAGAAAGGTATGAATCATGAATGTACCAACCAACCTACCTACATTTCGTAGTCATTAAAGGTAGCCTTTCGAACTAAGCGTCACAGACGCAGCGTCTTTAGCTTTGGTCTTGTGTTACCAACGCAACGCCGCGTCACTATCTCGCTTCGAAAGGCTACCTTTAAGATCAAAGCTAAAGACGCTGCGTCTGTGACGCTGGTGACGCTTAGTTCGAAAGGCTACGAAGCTTAGCTAGTTATGGGGTGTGGTCACACAATTAATTTTAATTTGAGGGCTCCAACTACATTATTAAGGCTGTATTATAAATTGAAGATTATTTTCATGGTTTTAATCCTATCTATCAACGGTATCGGGTTTATAAGTTATGATAAGTATGAGTTCGATATGCACGAAACGCCTAATGTTTTCGTAATAGCAAATGCACACGTGCATAACTTTGCCTGTGAGTTTCATAGGCCATATTGAGTTAGTTGTTTTTGCGAGTAGTTCTGTATGATGAATACTTGATCATCTTTACTTATGTACCTAAGTCTAAACCTACTTTTAAAATTTCAGACGACGTGGCGCGTGTGCAAATAAAAGTCTACAGGGGCCCGACAAAGCATGACGGCTACGCCCCATGGGGATTCTGGGTCAAACAGCCTTCCGACGAACAATAAAAGGCTGGCCTTAATAGTATAAGTTACATTAGTTCCTATAAATAGTACTAACATTAGCTTATTAAGTGTATTTTTAAAAACTTTAAACGTTTATGAAAACTTTTGTTTAAATCTATAAACGTTTGTTATTTTTAACGTTGGTTTGTTAAAATAAGCTAAGTAAAGGTTGTTATTATTTTTGTATTAAAACCAAAGATTAAGTTACAGTAGTCTACACATTTATTTTAAACTTAATTTACGTAAGTACCTCCCACCCCCCCTACTTAATTTAACTAAGTAATTAAACTTAATTTAACTAAGTACCTCCCACCCACTCCACTTAATCCTATAAGGTAAAGTGTATTAAAATTAATTGCCGTAACATCACCTTCTGTCATGAAATGATAATAATAATACGCTAATAAGAAAAATAACCCCACAAAAAGCCGAGGCAAAGTACTAATACTACATACAGGGTGTATGATTTACATAGTATTTAAAAAGAAGACGTAGTACCTAGGTACCTATTCAATTAAGTAGGTAGGTACAAGTTCTTAGATAAGTAGGTACAAAAATAAACAATCGGTTAAGACGGGTCCCGTACGCAGTGGCGAAGGTCGATTTAGCGAAGTACGTTTTAGCGAATAACACTCATGGTGGTACGCTGGAGCGAAAGGTTACTGAAGCGAAACACTCGCGGGCAAAAAATAACTGACGCTGACCTAGGCATTGGCGGCGCGTAGCATGGGTTGGCACCCGGGGCGATCACCCGACACCCCCCCCCCCCCTTCATTTAATTTTATGAAAATACATGTTATGTCTTACATAGTAACCGAGTCAAAATATGTTTTTGTATTTTTTTATTATTAAAAATTTTATTTAATCATTAAAGTTATTTTTTCGCCCGCGAGTGTTTTGCTTCAGTAACCTTTCGCTTCAGCGTACCACCATGAGTGTTTTTCGCTAAAACGTACTTCGCTATATCGACCTTCGCCACTGCGTACGGGACCCTGATAAGACGTAAACTGTAGCCGAACTAGAAAACCCGGCTGCATCATTACTTCTTATCCCATAAGATTGAAGGATAAGTAGGTATTATTTAATTTTGTTCTAATCTAATGAATACGCATGATTAGGTATGTCTACCTACTAGAAATAATAAATTATGGTTTAATAACTCACAAGATCACTGAATGATAATGCTCAATAAGTGTATGTTATCAATGTAAAATCGCATCTTTTAAGACGCTAAAGTTGGACTTGATGTTAATAGTGACCACAAGTTACCTACTGAGGTAACAATGAACGGTGCTTTTTGTATGGAGTTTGACAGATTTTTTACGTTTGTTAAAGTTAAAGTAAAATGGTGCAACCCGTCCTCAGTGATTCATTTACTAAAGTCCAGGTTTGTGCGCAGGGACGATCTCTACTAGTTTAGTTTAGCCCCTGCATACTGCCAGTGAATTACGTTATTTGTTTGACAGCATTCTAATACTCAAGTAGGTAGAGGCCCTACACAGGCCTACTTAACGAATCGTCGATAGTTAGCTTAGAGGGAAATAAATGTTTAAGTGGTAGGTATATATACGAGTAGGGAAGGATAAGGATGAAATCTCTCTAACAAACTTGATAAATCAAATTAAAGGAAAACCATGAAATCTTAAATTATTTTTATTGTTTACAGAAAATTGTATGGTAGGTATGGTGGTGAATTTTCGAAAATTTTTAAAAAATCTTTGAATGCAGTTCACTTTCTTTTCAAAAGTAAAGGAATGTTTTCTTTAAGTAAAATTTTCTATCTACAGTATTAAGAGTAATTTCCCTCCAGGTGGCATTACAAAATGCCACCCTGTATAAGTAATCATAAAATGTAAAGGAATCAACAGGAAAACTAATATACTTAGTCCAATATACGTAAGTTACTGTCAATAGGATTATTGTTGAATCGAAAGTTTCCTTATTCCTATTTGAACATTGAACAGGCTACAAACCAGTAAACCTTTTGATCCAGGTAGAAGTTAGAATAGGCGGTGAATACAGGTTTTATTCCATAGGAAATCCAGGAATCTAAAAGCTAAATCCGTAAGTTACACATAAAGTAAATCTGCATTTTAACGTTGAATTTATAAATTAAAGCCAGTTCCGGTCTGGGGTTTTATTCTCTACTAGCTGACCCGGCGAACTTTGTTCCGCCTTAATGGCAATAAATAACGGGATAAAAAGTATCCTATGTCCTTCTCCTGGCTCTAAACTACCTCCCTGACAATTTTCAGCTAAATCGGTTCAGCCGTTCTTGAGTTATAAGCGAAGTAACTAACACGACTTTCTTTTATATATATAGAAGATTTGCATTACAATAAGTAGGTACATTATGCTTAAAAGGATTTTCCCGCTAATTCCCGTTCCCGTGGGAATTTCGGGAATTCCTTTCTTAGTGCACCTCTACGGTACGTAAGCTATGTCCCTTCCAAATTTCAAGTGCCTACGTTAGCCGTTTAGGCTGTGCGTTGAATGTCAGTCAGTTTCTCCTTTTATATATGTTACGGTTAATGTGATAAATTGAAAATTATTAATAATAACCGGTTATTATGAATAATTCCCGACAGTCGCGGTAAAAGTGATAAATTAATCACATTTAACAGTGATTATTTAATAATTCAGCCTTAGTACTAACAAATTTCATAAAAGAGAACAACATCTTGTGTAAGTGTTCGTGTACAGCCAAACTTTTGAACGTTTTGATATCATATATTAATATAATTTGACATAATGAGTTTGGAACGTTTCTTGCATAATATTACTTTTCCATGATGCCTATAACATAATGTTTTGATTTAAAGTGAAAAATAGGTTAAGGTGCGGCGGGGGTGGCCCTTGGGCCACCCCTAAGCCGCCTATTTAGTTTTATACAAACATAAATGACCTCATATTAATCACATTTACCAAATCATGCGGTAATTATTCATAATAACCGGCGATTATTCATAATTTTCACATTTATCACTTTGACCGTAACATATATATTTAGATTCGTAGAGGTATCGAAAATTGCATAGGTAGGTAGCTATATTGACATTGACTTTGTAATTTGGCGGGACGAGTTTGTGCAGCTTTGTGCAGTAGTTTGTTGGTGTCGTGCGGTTAGGTCGGGTGTTAGAACGTTAGTTTAAACAGTAACATTGTTTGGTTAACCTTTCGGAGCCAAAACATTTGGCTGGCGTTAAAATGGCGCTAAGGTAAGATAATTTAAATTTAGTACCTACTTTTTTATGCAGAACTAGGCACGTATTTAACTGCAATCGCACATGAAGTTAAGTGAGTTGCAGTCTAGGATTACATTTAAAGAGAGAAAACGACATTTTTTTTTGATGATGGACAACTCCAAAAGATTTGTTGCTTGTGAGTAAATTTTGTTATAAGTAGACAGATAAAAAAGTTTTGTTCACATTTGTGGTGCATCAGGTATCGGGCAGGGCTAACTGGTTTTAGGTATTTTTTTCCTTTTCTAAGCTCGTGCAAAATTATCGTGATGGAATAAGGTAGAGAGATGATTTTTGAATGTGAATAACATGCAGAATTTTTTTCGTAAAGGTAATTTTATTTCGAATTAGATTACCTATAGGTAAAATTATTGTGTACCTTAGGTACGACGATATCGTAAGTTGTGTCGTATTCAGTTTATTTAGGTATGCCTAACTCTGCCTAAATACCAGGTAGTCTGGTAGAGATGGCTCCCAAGCGTTAGTCGGCCATTTTCCTTCTGATTGGCAGTAGGTATTATACTTACTGTGTAATAAAGATAATAATTCTGTCTACCTATAAAAAAATCCTGTTTTCAATATCTAAGTCATTGTTATAACTAGAGATGAAACGGATATCCGGTAACTATCCGGTAGGCCGGATATCCGGCCTACATTTACTATTCGGCCGGATACCGGATAGTAACTCACTATCCGGCCGGATACCGGATATTAAAAAACTACGACAAGAAGAACGGTCACGCCCCATACAAAAAAAACCCAGACCCGACAGAAACGAGACATACCTCAGTTTTTTTGTCATGTCTTAATTAGTTAAATTATATATTTTTTATATTCGAAATCTATGTATAACACCAAAATATTACCCTTTGTTTTCGTGCAGGCGTTATACAAAAACTAATACAAAATGCCTATTTATCACCAAAATTGGTAAATGTATGTACCTAAATGTCTATTACAGCTGCTATGGAATGTATCTAGGTGACCTGGAGATACAGCTGGATTATACAGGATGGTTATACATATGGAACGATAAGTGGCTCACTCGATTATTTCTTAACTATACAAGATATTGAAAAACAAGTTACTGATTCTGAAAGTGCTTCACGAGCTCTTTCAAACGGTACCAATAATAGGTTACAGATTATGGAAGCTGGTAACATTGTATTTTTGGATTTTGTAACTTCTCGTTTCCACCCTGTATAATCCGGCTGTATCTTCTGGTCACTTAGATACATTCCATAGCAGCTGTAATAGACATTTAAGTACATACATTTACCAATTTTGGTGATAAATAGGCATTTTGTATTAGTTTTTGTATAACGCCTGCACGAAAACAAAGGGTAATATTTTGGTGTTATACATAGATTTCGAATATAAAAAATATATAATTTAACTAATTAAGACATGACAAAAAAACTGAGGTATGTCTCGATTCTGTCGGGCCTGGGTCACAGATGACCGTTCTTCTTTCCTATTAATAAAATGAAATAGGACATTAATCTTTGAAGTAAACATCAATAAAATGGCTTATAATAATGACGGCTTTTATTTAAAGTTCAAAAAGTTACAAAAAGCTATATTAAGCCTTTAAAAAAACTAATTTATTTTTCTGGGCTATTCACTCTAATGACGAATGCATATTAATAATCTGTTAAAGTCGAAATATTGTCAAATAAAATAGCCGATCTTTTTTTCACTGATGGTCTGATGTCATGAATGATGCAGTTCAGTCAGATTATGCAGCAAGTAATTAAACTAATTGAAATTTCGCTATTCAATCACACACTCACGATGGCAACCGAAATCGTCCGAATTGATCTGCCCCCTAGACAAGTGGCAAAATCTGACATTCTATTCGGACTGATTCGATTTTCGAAAAGTGTGACTAGTCTAGTCTACTAATAGACCCACTGATCGCGTTCGAAGCACCTGTGCGGCGCTAAACTCGTCAAGACATGTAACGAGACAATGGGCCAACTATCCGGCCGCCGGATATCCGGCTATCCGGCCTAGCAGCTGGCCGGATATCCGGTATCCGGTATCCGGCCAAACAACTATCCGTTTCATCTCTAGTTATAACTATGTATAAATTTTCAGCCTACAAAATGTCTGAAAAAGTAAAAGTTATCAAAAGTACGCCATACATTCAACGAACAAGATTCAGAACAGCCAAAACTCTTTTAGATGCGCTAAGTAGTTGTGAAGGTGACCTGTCTAGAATTTCAAGGCTATTCCTTTATTCATCTAGAATCTAGATATTCAAAAGCGCTAAACGTTTTTAACTTAGTAGTCTTGGTACTTACATTTTTTCCAAAAACTCCCTTTTATTTGCGAATTTTATTAATGTTGTAGAATCATATGTTATAGAAAACCATACATGTGCACCAGTAGGTAGGTATCTTTACTCAAACTATCTCATTGTTTTGAGTTACTTTTTTTTAGATGGCTATCCCTTGTGATTTATAAATAAGTAAAAAAAAAAGTACTGAAGCCAAATATATTATTTAGTTTACAGTAACGAAGGTTCTTAAAATCTGTCTTATTAAAATTTATTTTCATTAAACATTGTTTTATTTTGTAAGTATGGTCACCCTACAATCTATAGAAGTACGATGCGGCTAAACGTGGGCCGCCGTATTGAAGAACGTATCGCAATGACAATCCGCCTAAACGTTGAACCGCCGTATTACAAAACAGAGCTGTAATGTAAAATGCCTAGTGGTAATGTAAAACGGCGGATTATACAATCCGACTGCGACATATACATAATTTATAGAGATTATACATAATTTTGCGGTTGGTTCTGGTAGAATAGATAGAGTTCACTCCCACTCTACTTACCCTTGGATGTCGTAAAAGGTGACTGAGAAACATCAATCAAAATCAAAAATCAAAATCAAAAGTATTTATTCAGTTTAGACCACAAGTGGCACTTATGAACGTCAAAATATTATTATAGAAAATAATAAAAAAAGAAAAGGTAGCCCTTATGGGGCACTTTACATGTCTCCTTATCTTTTGGGCCCTACCAATCAATCAAAAATCAACATTAACTTATTGGTGGTTTCAAGTAAGTACTTACTTAACTACCTACATATTAATATTTAAAAAGAAACCTACCTAATAATGAGCGGCCGCAGCAAGTCATAGTCATAGTCATATATTCTATACTAAGTATGTAGCTTTTGCCCGCGGCTTCACCCGCGTGAAATTTAGTTTGTCACAGATCGTCATAAATTATAGCCTATAAGGCCTATAATTATGTTATTCTGGGTTATCTATACCTACTTATAATAAATCTGTAGAGAGGTCAATTCTGTACATGAAATATATTTTCAAAATAACTATCAGGGGATGATTAGTGATCGATACTGATGCCAAAAATGCAATCAGTAAAATTTTTGTCTGTCTGTCTGTCTGTATGTTCCTTATAGAAACAAAAACTACTCGACGGATTTTAACGAAACTTGGTACAATTATTCTTCAAACTCCTGGGCAGGCAAAAATATAAACCGCTTAAGTTAGACGCTTGAAATTTGGCATGCAGGTACCTTAGTAAACTTGAAGCTTAGTTACAACAGGATATTGCAAAATTCCCACGGACACGGGAGTTAGCGGGAAAAAACATTAGTATGAAAAAATCTAAACCGCGTAAGATAGATGAAGGGGGTAAAACGGGATCCACGCGTACGAAGTCGCGGGCGGCCGCTAGTAAACAATAATACTGTAAAGTTTCAACAAAATCCGTTCTGTAGTTTTTGCGTGACAAACATCCAGACTTCCAAACATCCAAACTTTCGCATTTATAATATTAGTAGGAAACAATAACAAATCTGAAACTAATTAGGAATTCACTTGCATCTTGCAAAAAACATTAAATACGTAAATTACCAGGAACATAGTTTTTCTAGAATGAGAGCAAAGCCGGCATTGTCATAGTTATTAGACTTCATAGTCACTAATTTGTTAACGGTTATTGTAGCGCTACATTTTAGCGGCTCTTTGGTGACGCTATGGCGCACCGCTGCCACTGCAAGCGATGATAGCGCTACTTTATTTTACACCTAGGTGCAATAAAAAGTGTTTTGTGGTAAAAGAGTGAGAAATTCCTCGATTAAGAGGTTCCGGGTTTAATTCTCATGTGTTATTCAAATTTATGTATGCGAGTCATTTCTACTAGTATCTTAATATGTAAGTCTAGATATTAGCACGTCACTACCTTGTTTAATATACCACGCAATCTTGTATACCCATTCTTATAAGATACACCATACAAGAATGCATGGTAAATTCAGTGAACTGCTCCTGAATCGAATGTACCTACTACTACTATTTCTATTTATTTATATTAACCGGCAGACAGTGGTGACTGAGTTTGTTGCGGCGCTTCTTCTCAGCACTTGCCAAATGTTGGTCTCGAAGCGCTGGTAGGGTAAAAAGATTATGAGACATGTAGAGGCTCCTTAAGAGCAAAATGACGATTTGTAAGAACTATTTATTAGTCCAAACAAATAAAGAAATTTTGACTTTGACTTTGACTTTGACATGTGGGACACATAATTTAGTTCACGAGTACCTCTATTATTTTTTACCTGTTTTGGAAAGGCGTTAAGTAACGTTTAGCCTAGGCGCAGTCCACCGACTATTAGTTGGCCGATAGTTGGGCCCGATTTTAATTTGTATGAAGAATCGTCCCATACCAAATCGGTGTAATGTGCGCACTTTCATACATCTCCATACTGATTAACAGCCCGACTCAACTACCGGCCGACAAAAATACGGTGGTCTGCGCCTAGGCTGAGTTTAAGATTGACGTTTTTACTTGTGTTCAACACGCGTGTGTAACTTATTATTAGAACTTATTAGGGTTTGAATTAGTTCTAATCGCTTCGCATGTGCAGTGTAGCACTACCTCTACTGACACATTAGTTTGTTTTAGATAACAAGTGACACTCGACCGGCGGCAGTCGCGACATGCTGCGAGCATGGCCACGAGCCGCCTGCGGGTCCTGTGGTCGCGTCTCGGTGAGGACATTGGACTTTTGTTTATTTACAAAACATAACAAACGCGTGCTTATGTTGTGTGCTAAAAAAATGTAAGACTTAACCTTGCTTGGTTTAATTAGATAGATCTATGTTTTATTATTCGTTATGCAGAACGAGGCAGGTATTTAACCGCAATCGCACTTGATGTTAAGTGAGATTCAGTCTAGGATGGTACATATCTGGCTATCTGCCCTGTAAGTGCCTATTCACTCTCACCTTGAAAAGGCCCGGATTAGGTATAGGTACGAGTAGTGTTCAGGAAAGTTTTTTATACGAGGAAGCTCTTGGCCTGTATCTCACCTGATGGTAAGTGATGATCAGGAAAGTTCAGGAAAGATTGCTAGCAGGAAGATAGCAAAATACCATGGTATATTTTTTGTGCTTTTGTTACAAATAGGTACGTGTTGATGAGCTAGGCTGTCTATCTACAAGTATAATAGTTACACGATTTAAAAATAGTGAGTGTAATGAATTAGGTAGGTACTCGTACGTACCTATAATACGAGTATGTAGCCAAAAACCCACGCAAACATTTTTAAACGTAGCAAAATACTTCACCTAAACTACATATTAATACAATTCCTTATATTTACAATCTATCTGCATAAAAGTACTAGTAAAAGGGGCCCACAGAGATCAATAACTATGCCCATTTAAACCGTGGCTATATCTACAGAAGTAGTGCTGTTGCCCATTTAGCCGATAATCCGGGCCTTTTCAAGGCGAGAGTGATTAGGCACTTACAGGGCAGATATGTACCATCTTAGACTGCATCTCTAACACCAGGTGCGATTGCGGTCAAATACCTGCCTTGTTATGCATAAAAAATAACAGCCTAGTTTCGACCAGTTCTCGACTGGAGACAACATCTTGTTTTGGCCAAAAATTCCTCAATATTGCAGGTCGTCGCTACCAACAGCTGATTCTGCTGCTGGTGGTGGTGACCGCTGCGTGCGTCCTGTCCCAAGCATGGTGGATCTCAAGGGTCACCAGCGCGCTGCTGCCGCCATACCCTCAGGGCCAAGACCTCCGGCATTACAGGAGAGATAGGAACTTGAAGCGGTACTTGGACAATATGTAAGTCTTGATGCTGAATTAAATTCAAATTCTTTATTAGATAGGGACTTTGCAGGGCATTTAAACACGTCGCAATAAAGCTTGATCTATCCCCACTTCGGGACAACCAATGATGGTTCTAAGACAACTATTTCCTGTGACTACTCAACCTTCACTGGTTGAGTTTCATTGAAGGCCAAACTGTAGATCCGGGGTAAACAGGATCTGCAGTGGTGGGAACTAGAGATGGAAGCAGTCCCAGGATTCATTCAATATAAGCTTCAAGACCTGGTCGCTATACTTAGAGGTGTAAAATGTGATGAAATAAAGAAGATAAAAATACCTGAAACATTATTTGTATTTATAGAAGATTATATAGATTATAGAAGATTATAGAAGCTTGGCAGCTTTTCAATCAATTAGAGTTAGCATCACGCTGTAAATACACTGATATCATGGCCGAAGATTGTTTTTTATTTGCATTCAAAAAGATATTTGTTTCAACCTTATGTTTTCCAGCCAGTTGCTGATAGAACCTTCGTCTTCCCACCACTCCTGTGAGGGAACCGAAGAGGTTCCCCTACTGGTGCTGGTCTCCAGTGCTCCCTCCAACCTGGACAGCAGGCAGGCAATCCGGCAGACCTGGGCGAGACATGTACCGACATTTTTCGTGATGGGCCTGGATGGGCCAGATGTGGATGAAAAGCTGGTAAGAGTCGAAGAAATTCTTCAGTTGTTCACACAATCTCCGTTAACATAGTTGAAAAGGAATGTAACATATTGGGACGGGTTTTTTTTGGTATAATGACGTAAAGTCAACGTCGGAATCACGAGAATCTACGAAATAAAACATCTGAAAAAAAATATCTTGTACACACGGCCACACTGTTAATTTCCGTTTTTGCTCTCGCTCTAATCATATGGCGATTCTTTGCGATTAGAACGAGATGACATGACTGGCAATGGGCAGTTAACACTGTTGCCGATAGTACATTCGCCAATATCGCCTTCCCCTGTTCCGTCTAGGGTTGCCAGGCGTCCGGCTTTAGCCGGACATGTTTGGCTTTTTAGGGTCTTGTCCGGCCAAATATTGCCTTGTCCGGCCTGTCCGGCTTTTGTTAGGCTTTTTATTTGGTTGCCGCGCCAGGCTAAAGTCGAGCCACAGAATCATATGAAGCGCCCGCATCAGGATGTTGGTTAACAACCGATGATGATAGTACTCACTCATGAGCTGACACTAATTGCACCCCCCCCCCGTCATATGTCCGGCTTTTAGGGTAAAATGTCCGGCCAAATGAAACACAAAGTCCGGCTTTTGTGATTTTGGACCTGGCAACCCTAGTTCCGTCTCGTTCTATCGCAAAGAATCACTATTTGATGAGAGCGAGAGCAGAAACGGATAGTTAACAGTGTGGCCGTGTGTACAAAGACCCACCTATCTAATTAAATAGAAAATTTGTCTTCAGGTAGACCCATCAAATTAAATTCACACCAGTTATCTCCAGGTAGACATCTATATCGAGGCGAAGCAGTACGGCGACATGCTGGTCTACGACTTCGCGGACAACTACCAGAATCTGACCCTTAAGACGGCTTTGATGCTGGAGTGGTCTTCGCGGCGCTGTCCGCAGGCGCAGGCGCTGTTCAAGACTGATGATGACGTGTTCGTCAACCCCTGGATGCTGGGGAAGGTGGTGAAGGAGCATGTGAATAGTCAGCTTATAGGTGAGACTTAGGGCTGTTTTTAGAGCAGACTGAAATTATTAAAATATCCAGCCTTGTTTTATTTTATTTTATTTATTTATTTAAGGCACAGCTACAGAGAACAAACAATAACAATACAATTAACTCAACAACATAGCACAATATTAAGTCTGAACTCCGATTAGAGCCAGGCACAAAAAAATTATTAAAAAATATTTGTGTAAAAATAATTACCTAATAAAATATTGTTTGATATAACCAATCAACGAATGAAACATTTATTACAGTGGTGGACATCACATAAAGACAAAAAAGTACCTATTTAAAACGAGTCGGGCTCGCGCACAAAGGGTTCCGTAGCAGCAAATATAACCAAAATTACAGTTAAATCAACCTATCTCAAAAACTATAAGAGATACTTTGATCAAACCAAAAATCGTTGAAAGAGTTAATTAGCATGCATCACCTCTATTTTTTTTAGAATTTTATACCCCGTAGTTATAAAAATAGAGGGGGGGGGACATACTTTTTACGACTTTGAGAGCTGATATCTCAAAAACCGTTCACTTTAAGAAAAATGTTTTTTAGAAAACTTTATATCATTTTAAAAGACCTTTCCATTGATACCCCACACGGGTATGTACATCGAAAAAAAATTTTCATCCCTCAGTTACATGTATGGGGGGCCCCACCCCCAATTCTTTTTTTTACTATTTAGTGTCATAATTTTGTAGCGGTTCATACAACACATATTCCCATCAAATTTCATCACTGTAGTACTTATAGTTTCCGAGTAAATCGGCTGTGACAGACGGACAGACGGACAGACGGACAGACGGACAGACGGACAGACGGACAGACGGACAGACGGACATGACGAAACTATAAGGGTTCCGTTTTTGCCATTTTGGCTACGGAACCCTAAAAACAAACCAACCGAATTGAGAACCTCCTCCTTTTGTTGAAGTCGGTTAATTAAAACACATGAATTTGTATTTATACGCGTGTAACAGAAGAAATAAATCGGTGAGAAATATAGTAATCGAGTGGGTAGTTAGTAGTTATAGCTGTGGTTATAGTAACTAGGACGTTTGTAGTAAAAGTTTCATATTTCTAGTACATACTAGTAGTGTTTCGTAGAGGTTTAAAAAGTATGTTGTAACTGAATTTCAACACTTTTTTCCCATAATTTTGCTGAATTCTGAAAAAAACTGATGAAATTTCATTTTTGTGAACTTATTCCAGGGTACAAGATCAACAACAGCCTGGTGCACCGGGACGAGTATACCAAGTGGTACCTGCCTCGCTGGCTGTACCCTGACGAGGTCATCCCGGAGTACCTCTCTGGGACGGGGTACATTATCAATGGTAAGATCTTTACTCATGATGAACATTCGATTTTGGCACTTATTCATTCATTACCTACCTACCTAATATCTTTTGGCATAGAGAGATAGTGACGAAATTTGTTTAGAATGGGTAAAAACTAAAATGGGAAGGAAACAGTGATAATTAAAAAAAATAGTTATTTTCTTAGTTCTTAGTCCCTTAATCTTCTGATTAATTTCGTTGCGGGTTCCAAGACAGTAACCCAGTCCCTGGGACTATTCAACCTTCCCTGGTTGGGTTTCATTGCAGGCCACGTTGTAGATCCTGGTTATATTATACAGGATTGCAGTGGTTGGGAGAGAATGAGAAGTGGAATTAGTCCCGTTTTAGCATAGATTGAGGATTACTTTAAAGAATAGCCTAGGGCTGAATAAAGTTTGCAATTGTAACCATTTTATTTATATTTTCAGGGGAATACATCGAAAGAATACTCAAAGCGGCGTACAAAGTACCTCTCATCAATTTAGAAGACGTTTACCTTACACACATCGTGGCAAAGAGGAGCCTGCATTTGACCCTCTCGCACGACCGAAGGCTGAGTCCCTACAAACCCTGGATCAGGTCTGCCTGTTCCTACTGGTCGCTGGCCACAGCCCATAGTTTAAGTCCTGACGAGGTCATATCCGCATGGTCTAGCATTTTACCTTTGATCAAGCAGTTCAAAAATGGCGACGATGTATGTAACCTCTTTAGGTTCCTCTCAAGTTATATGTTTTTATATTAATTTGTGTGTTATAGGTGAGATTATCATAGGATCTAAGGGTAATGTAATATGTGCTTTCAGGCACGTTTGTTTTAGGTTTGTAAACGAAGGCCATTATGCGTCAGGAACGTGTATTATGTTAGGTTAAGCAAATAGAAACCAGAAATCAATATTGTTGATGTATCTTTTTAATAAGTGTTTGTTGTGGAAGAACGGGGTCCCGTAGCACTAGTAGGTAGAATACTTAAAAGGAGACCTACCTAGCATAAGTATTAGTATACAAGAAATAAGATACAGATTACAGAGTAATTATTATTGAATTTTGCATTTGACCAACATTTCTAAGGTAACTGATAGAAGATTGTAGTCTAGTAGTTTTGAGTGGCATAATGTAACTAAAACTACAGAGTATAGAAGTGCTCCGTCAAGGCACTCGCAAAGTTAAGATTTTATCGGCACACATCCTTTATCTGATATTTTGACATTATTGTTTTGGATTTTATAGTCTTACTAGCTTTTGCCCGCGGCTTCACCCGCGTGAAATTTCGTTTGTCACAGATCGTCATAAATTATATCCTAAGATATGAGTTATAAACAATAATACTGTAAAGTTTCATCAAAATCCGTTCAGTAGTTTATGCGTGAAAGATTAACAAACATCCAAACTTTCGCAATAATAATATTAAGTACCTACCTACCTAGTAAGATATTTTCACTATTAAAGGACTCGAATCCTCGAGGGAGTAGTCATAGTCATAGATCTTTATTGCATCATGTTGGTAAAGTTGGTTAACCTATTAAATCGATTTAACTTGTCATATTATCTTTGTTCAATACCCAATGATTGGCGTTTTGTAGTTATGGGTTTACCAGTCGCATGTTTTGGTAAACTAGGATGTTTCAGTTAGGCCTAATGTAAAATTAACACGAATGTCCTTGGCTTGTTTAATTACATTCATTAATATGCACAAAGAGACCATAATAACATGTTTGATGTAGGCTGATCATTCCATTATTTGATAATTACAACATTATAATAACTCTTATTAATTAAAATGAAAGGTAGAGCGTATTAATAATTTCTTTCTAGATTAAGACTAGGCGCAGACCACCGATTTTTAGTTGGCCGATAGTTGGGTCCGATTTTAATTTGTATGAAGAATCGGCCAAATCGAATCGGCGTAATGTGCGCATAGGGTTTCTGATTTCTCGACTTATTTTTTTTCTCGAGTTTCGGGAATTCTCGAGGCCAAAGTCTCGAGTTTTCTCGGGTCTCGAGTTTTTTAATTAAAACTGTTGAAATCGGTTGAAATTAGGGCATGAATATCGGAATCTCGGAATCTCGTAATATCGGAATCTCGGACTGCGAGATCCGATATTTCAATTCCGATATTGAGCGACCCAATATCGTAATATCGGAATCAGATAAAAGTTTTAATTGAGATTTTAAACAAAGCGTTTAAACTTGCCACAACCTGCCATAAAGCCCAAAGTACATGATTGGCAAAGACCAATGATTTTCTCATGTCTCTCACCATCACTTTTTGTTCCACTGCAAATATTTTAAATCTTTACTATTTACGGTTAATTTAACTTGTTCTAAATCAATTTTAGCATTTGTCATAGGTACTTGGTCAACAAAGAACGACATCTCAACTCCCTTTCAAACATTAATTTTACTGGACATGGACCGTCAGTCTACTTTCTGCGTACTATGTGCCCTGCACATTGCCACTTCAGCTTGCTAATCCGTCGGGCTATGTCAGCGACCTTAGTTAGTTTACGGAGCTCCTCATTTCTGATTAGATCTCGTAAAGAAACACCAAGCTTATCCCTCTCCATAGCACGTTGTGCCCTATATTCAAAGGCCACGTTTTCGAGCCGTATATCATCACTGGTAACACACACTAATTGAAGACTTTCGTCTTCGTATTCGACGATTTACCTCTTTCTCGAAATTGCATCTAACTACCTAGCTGATCGTTTGTCCGAGATAGACATACTTACTTGTCAACAATCTCGAGAATCGAGCTCCTAACCGAAACTGGGTAAGGAGCAACATGGACATTCGACATAAGCTTCGTTTTTTCCATATTCATCCGAAGGCCTACCTGTTGGGAAACTCGATTAAGGTCTTCGAGCATTGTGATAAGGTCTTCCAACGGTTCTGCCTTAGTACGCAAAACAGACGGACGATGAGGCAGCAAGGTTCTGAAGTGGAGGCCACGTACCGGAAAGCGCAGCGTAGGACTCATAACCACAAGGTGGACCGACGACCTCATAAAGGTAGCAGGAAGGCGCTGGATGCAGGCCGCCACCAACCGGCCATTGTGAAAATCAGCATCGGAGCCTGTGTTCAGCAGTGGACGTCCTATGGCTGACATGATGATGATGATGGCTCGTGGTTTTGTGAGTTGTACATCGATAATCAAAAAGGAACAAATTACAAGCATATTTAAGTTTTTTACCACTCTTTAAAATTTTTGTAACACGTGATTGAATGACTCTAATTCGTTCCGCCAACATAAAACAGGGTAATAATGAAGGAGTAAAAAAGTTCGTTTGATATCTGTGATTTTACAAAAACACTTTAATTATTTGCTAGTCCATATAGGCTCATTATCAGTAACCATTCATTATCAGGTGATCCGTCTGCTCGTTTGCCTCTTGTCACATAAAAAACCAAATTAATGCAATGGATACCCATAACGTAAAAATAGTTTTAAAATACTTCAATTTTATGCTGTTTTGTACCAAATTAAAGATTTTGATTAAAATCATTATTTTATTGTAAACAATCCAGAATTCTTACGAATATAACCAAATATTAATTTTATAGCACATGAACTCAATTCCGATATTAATATCGGAATTCCGATATTGAGATCTAATATCGGAATCCAATATCGGAATTGAAAACCTTCCGATATTACATGCCCTAGTTGAAATTTAATAAAAACACGGGTTTTTATTAATGTTATAATGTGTCTGGGTTATAATCAATGATACTGTAAAGTTTCAACAAAATCCGTTCAGTAGTTTTTGCGTGAAAGAGTAACAAACATCCAGACATCCACACAAACTTTCGCATTTATAATATTAGTAGGATAATAATTATAACTTAGTAATTAACTAAAGGAACAAAAGTCACAAAGTCGCGTGTACTTTAAGGATTAATAACCATAAATATCTGGAGCTCCAATTGAATCACTTGTTTTCCAAAGAACACAAGTCCAAATTAATTGAAAAATTACGATAATAAACCTGCATTTACAAAAAAAAAACATTTAAATAAATTTTTAAACTTAAAGATAACGACTTGAATAAACGTATTTACGAGTACCTAAATTAACAGATAGTTAACAAAAAATTTTCAGTCTTTAAATCAGTCAGTTATACAAACATAATAAAATATAGCATACTCGTAGGTGATTATTATTAGTTTCGGTTAAGATCATTACTTGCAAATCAAATTAGTTAAAAAAAGGAAAGACTAGGCCAGTCTAAACGCAACATTAACCTATTAAATAATTAAAATCTTACTTTTGTCTAAGAAAATAGGCTTTCAAGAATATTAAAGCTTCAAAATCGAAACTCGAGAATTCTCGAGCTCCGGTAATTTTTTTCTCGTCTCGAATGAAGCCAAATTTCTCGAGTTTTCTCGAGTTCGAGAAAGCTCGAGCAGAAACCCTATGTGCGCACTTCCATACATGCTCATACTGATCAACTGCCCGACTAAACTATCGGCCGACGAAAAATCCGATGGTCTGCGCCTAGGCTAACGCCGCCGTTTCTCCGCTCGCCGGTCAGTATTCTGTGTATGAAACTCCATATTGCAATGCGCACTTATCCGTACCGTAACGTAAACACCTCGCCTCGCAATGGACAGCGCGCAAAAGGCGATACAGCGTTGATCCCTTTCCGAGTTGATAAGTCTGCTATGAGCTTTACTTGGTTCGCTGATGATAAGTTATTATATTCCAGAAAAATATCCAGTTTTGTTCAAATGTTATGTTCAATGGGAATGTAGGCACTAAATTGATTTTAAATGAAAATACTGTGTGTCTGGTGATAAAAATAGATGACATTATAACGAAAGCCAAAGACTTTAAAATCAGTACTAAAATATCTAAAATAAGTACTTAAGGCTTACTTATATAGGTTTAAGTATGAACAATTTAATTTTTTATTGATTAGTTAGTCTTATTCATTGATCGAGCATAAATCATGTGAATTGTAAACAATAATGTAAATAATAGTTACCAAGTTTTGTAATACATTACTATTTTTGTGATATTAGTTTTCATTTAACCGTCAAGCTTGATCTGCGTGATAACAGCCTTTTAAGTTGGTAAAGTCTTACCAAATCATACTACGGATTTTTGGATGCCCCTCCCCCTTTTAGTGAGATATCGTGAGATTTGCCTCGACGCCCTCCCTCCCTGTAATCTCACGTGAAATTTTCTAATTTTTAACACGCTTTTATTAGGTCATCGTGTATGTAACTATGTAATGGAATCTAAGAATCTGAATTACACGCACTTCTAATAATTCTTGTATCATCATGAAACTTTTCAATTATAAGTAGATTATAGATGACAACACAATATTATGGTACCATCGAGGTGGTCTGATGATGGGAAAGGAAGGTGGCCATAGGAACTCCTAAACGAAACGGCGGAATCGCATCGAGTTTGGGTATATTGGAATTATCTTTTCGAGCACTTTAGTGCTAGATGATGTCCAGGGTCCTGATGGTGGAGTCTGGCCTTTCAGTACAGTAATTAAAAGCGTGTTTTTAGTATTTTGACTATTAATTTTTTAATGTTTCTTACATTCCTTCTAGGTCCAAATTAACAGAAGATGGACGTAATTTGATTGTGTGGACCGAGTAGTATGATTATGTAGGCAGTCAGGTGCAGCGATAAGGATTATACGTTTTCTTATTTCATCCATTGACATTGTGTACCTCAGTCTTAGAACACAGAGATGTATTTGGTTATGTGTAACATTTTAGTAGTACAGTCGCGCATACTGCGACACTTTATACATGTCAAAAACAACTCCATAGAGCGATTTGTTCGTTCAGGGAAAGGTTGAAGGGCTCCTATCGCATGGACTGACCTAGTTTTTTTTATGCAGGACAATTTGACCGCAATCGTGCCTGGTGTTAAGTAAGATGCAGTCTAGGATGGTAAATATTATCTGCCCTGTAAGTGCCTATTCACTCTCGCCTTGAAAAGGCCTGGATTATAGTGTTCAGGAAAGATAGCAGCAGGCAGCGAGTTCCAGTCCCTAGCTGTTTTATAAAGGAGTCATCGAAACGCTTAGTGCGAGCTGGTGGAATGTCGACAATGTAGGTACGGTACGCTAACCTTCGTCTGGTTTCTCGGTGATGGAAGGGGGCTGGTGGAATTTCTTTGCGCAATTTCTTCGATCACCATCGTCGCTACAGGAGGCCTGCAGCAGCCTAGACGGGCTGCTCGCCTTCTGGGGGGATCTGGGGTGGTTGGAGTCGGAAGATAAACCACAAATCGCGCACAATGGCCCAATCATGTGGCTAAGTGCGGTATTCCATTGCCCTGCAAAACTAACTAACTAACTAACCTAATGCGATAGAATAAAATATTTTATGTAAAGCATTATTACAATGTTAGTACTTAGATAAGTTTAAAATCCACCCGGAAGCTCATTAGTGAGATAAACTTGATTAACGAATACACAGAGTTAGGGATATGATGTTTCTGTTTTTAATTAAAATGCCATACAATAACTAGTTGGTCATATAACAGTTGGTGGACCGACGATCTGGTTAAGGTCGCGGGAGGTGCCTGGATGCGAGCGGCGCAGGACCGGCCTTTATGGAAATCCTTGGGAGAGGCCTTTGTCCAGCAGTGGACGTCTTTCGGCTGAAACGAACGAACGAACGAACAATAACTAGCTCTACTTACTTTACTTCGATGAGTTCACCTTCAGTCGTTCCTATTGAGTTTTAACAGAACTTTATGGGTGACTCTCTCTATGGTGGCTCTTAAAATCAAAGATTCTACTATGCTAGTTTTTATTTCCGACTATGATACACAATATTACAGTTAGATTTACAACTAACCTCTCACTCTACATAAATTGTATTTAGAAAAACAAGGTACCCACTGAAACTCAGTGTTTGGCAGCTATGCCGTCAAGCTAATACTGAGTGGGGGACCTTTTTGGCAACTTCTTTTCCTGTTTGTTAAATTTCTAAATTGTCTGTGTATGTCTTTTGCTGAGTTATTTTCTTTCTTTCAAAAATCTAGAATATTCTAATTTTTCCCCTAAATCCGTCCCCGAACCTGCAAACAATGCATCAACGCTTGCATCCGAGCTTGAAGCTATAAAACGCGCACGCGCAGATGGTCAGCATCTCACTGCACCATGGAACTCAAGTGGATCGTGCTGGCTGCCCTCGTGCTCATCATGGTGTACCAGGTGGAAGCAGGTTCGTCTAATGTCTAGTTTGGCAAGGGCATCTCCAGTTTGGAAAATGAAGAAGTTGATGACAAACGGACACTATAGATCAGTTAAAACAGTTTTTATTTTTCGAACTTTATGTAGGTACAGTCTGCGTCAGATAAATCGTGAGACCCAAAGTGGCCAAGAAGTAGACAACATAACCTTATTCCTATTGTAACAAAGACGTGTTGCGAACTTTTGCTATTTTGGGTGTCAAGAACTATTTGACGCTCACTGTACTTACTAGAAAGAAATACTACCTACATGTAGGCTATAGCCTAAGCTGTTAAAAGTGTGATAAAAATTTTAATCATAAATTAATTTAGAGTAGGTATTTATCATTAAATATTTCTTTTAGTAAATAGAATTTAGTAAACTCGTAGAATAGAATGGTAATAATAAAGAGAATTTGAATTGTACATAATCATATCAAAATAACGATAAAGAAGTAGGTAATCATTTAACAAGTCAAATGATAATGTTCTCCGAGTTTTAAAATCGTTATTGTTATTGTGAGATTTGTGAACAACGAAAGAATGACAACTTTGATTAAAGGAATTGTTTAGCAATGTCACCTTAGATATACTATTTTTAACTACACAAACAATTTACAATGTAAACAACTTTAAAAAATCCTGACTGGATAGAAAAAAGATATTATTTAACAGTTTGAAAATAAAAACTAAAAAAAAATTATACTGTAGCAAGAGAGAATCAAGAATGAACATTGTTACGTGCGCTTAAAGTTTTTGTGGCAACGTTTTCCATTTCCGCGAGTGATATGAAACAAACATTCAGGCGTGGTTCTTTTCTTTATAGAAATTGAATCACGCCCAGACGTCTGGAGCCACAGAAGTAAAGATCACAGGAAAAAAGTTGGAAAACTCAGTGCGTGGGACAAAGTCTTCAAGAATTATTATTTAGACGACAAAAATACTGAAGAAGAGTCTGGTATGTACACACACATGTATAATACTAATCATATTTAAAAACACATTATTTTAATTGAAATAGCTAATGAAGTAATTCTTTTTCTAGTGGCACAACTTCAAAAAAAGTTTAAGAGCGAACGAGATTGCAACAACGAGAAAAATAAAAAGAGAACCGCTAGAAACATCGAAAATCACAAGAAAATTGTGATTTACGACATACTTTCACTTCTGACACCACTGTTCGCTACAAAGTCTGTTGATTTTCATGACGAAGCACCGGCCAACGTGATCTCACAAGAAGAAAATCATAACAAAAAGCCCGAAGACGGTCGAAGGGGTTTAAGATATGAAAATAACAAGACAGCTGATGAAGAATCGTTATTTGAAGTCCTAAGTAATAAGCTTCATAATGATATCGACAAAAAAGTAAGCAAGGCCAAAGAAGACAAAAAGATAGACCCTGCTAGGCATTTCTTGATGTCACTACTCGAAGACTTTGAAGCGATACCAAAAACGTTAAAAGTTGATGCTAAATTCGAGATCCTGTCGGTTTTGAGGAAGTATAATAAATACTATGAGAAATCATCTACCCCAATACCAGCTGTGTTGATTCCTTCCTATAGAAACCCAGAATCAACTGATTCTGATTCTTCTGTTCTATCGGACTTATTTTCCGATTAGCGATGATCACTAAAGAATTTTATTTTTTTAAATGTAACGTAAGTTTAATTTTTGTACTTTTTATATTCAATAAAATCTACCGCAAAGATTTGTCTTATTTGTTTAATCTTCTTTGCTATCTACAAAAGTCTTGTTCTTTGCAATCGTTTGTCAAGTATATCGTTCAAGTATTTTGTATACTTAGGGTGAGTTGCACCACCTAACTTTGACCATAACTTTAACGATAACCGGTGGTTTTTGTATGGAGTTTGACAGATTTTTGACGTTTGTCAAAGTTAAAGTAAGATGGTGCGACCCAGCCTTAGTGTATTAGGCAAAATAGATTTGTAACCCTCGCAAAAGTCATTGTAGCAAAATAAAGCTCAAAATTAAGAATAGGATAGGTATTTAATTTTTACTTGGTCTAACGCTGCTCCGAATTCCAAACTTTTTTAGACTTTTACTTCAACCACATCTGGCCGAAGGAAGATGAACTTGAGGAAAATGACCTTAAATGCGTTCCTGGTCGTACCATCATCAAGCTCATTGAAAAACCGGCTGAACCTGTGGAAGTAAACTCATCAGACGACGAGGATGAAGATTTCGGCAACGCTCTGCGGTCTCATATGAACACCAAGATCAAAGAGGATTACTGTAAAGTGTGTGTCTGCTCAGTGGAAGGCAAGGATGAGTACTGCAGCGGAAGACCAGCGATGAATGTCAATGAGTGCCTCAGGATGAGCACGTTGATGGAGCAGTTCCATAACAACGTGCCTTTCGACCACAAAAGGACTTTGGCGTACAGAATTAGGAGAGGTTCGTCTAGGATACAGGGCGGAATCGGTGTAGCTGAAATTTTCATGGCATTATGAAGTTTCAAAACCCTAAAAACGAGTTTCGTCAATATTATGAAATAAAGTTGTATTCAATAAGCTTGTCAATATTTTAGGCACATGTTGAGTGAGTCTATCTCAAATGTAAATTATATGTATTATACTCATGTACAAGTAGCTGTCAATGAAATAATTTTCAACTAAAACAGATTACCTATGGCACAACGATGAGATCCCGTACGAAGCGAAAGCGAAGTGCAGACGAGGAGTCTCTTACTACAGCAACTCTGTCACCGCAAACGACACCGACATTGACGTCGCGTCTGACGTCGAGTCTCTGCTAGACTACTCCAACAAAGACGTGTGCTTCTACTGCGTCTGCGCCGTCCACGGCCGAGGAGTTGGCTGCATCAAACGGGACACTTGGTTCTGCGAATACTACAGAACCATCAGAGAAGAGGACGCGTCCAGAGACATGTACACAAAGCTCTTCAATGAAGACAGGCCGACGTACTTTAGGCAGCTGTCGTGGAGACTGAGGAGGACGATGGACGATGGGCTGTACGACTTGAGGACAGCGGGTAGGGTGCCGCAGGGTTGCACTTTGGGGCCAGTTTTGTTTCTTGTTGCTTTTTGGGCTGTTTTAATCACATATACTTAGGTATTCGATAGCAATATTGTCTGTGATAGTGTTTTATAAGTTAGTGATATTTAGTGTACCTATGTGAATACATATTATAATTATAAAATGTGTCAGTGTGAAATAAATTTCTTGAAATGCTGCCAAGTCTTCAATATATCGCCTTCTGCAGCCAATCATGGTCACTTAATTTTGAAACTAAATTGATTTGTTCTGGAAGTTCATGTTCTCCTGGTAAATGAAGATTGGTTGTTGCAGGAGGCGATACGTTGTGCTGCAGCCACCCGGACGGCCACCGAAGAAACATCCACAGCAGCGTGAGGAGCAAGCTCAGGCAAATGAGAAGGAAGGTGCCGAAGGAGAATCTGTTAGGAGGTGGACCTGGTGGAGACTACGCTGATTTCGTCGTCAACAATGATTAGAAGTTGAAGCTGAGAAGAAGAGAGATGTTGATGATGAAGATTTCGAAATTTTGTTAAACTGAGAGAGATTAATGATTTTGTGGATCTTCAGATCAAAATCATTGTTTTGAAAAGCATATTGGAAATGATACGGCTTTCTCTTGTGTGTGAACGTGAAGAGTGATTGTTTTTATATTTTTTTACTCAAACAGTGTTGTTTCGAAATAAAGTGTTCAATCTGTAAAAGTGTTCGTGTCTACATTATTAATATTATTCGTCGTAGGCTATTATTTTGCACATACATTTTAAATTATTTTTAACCTTATTTATCACAGTTTAAATTGGCACATGCACATTACTTTCAGCTGCACCGAATTCACCATGAATGCACTCTTAGTATTTTTAAGTTATTTACGTAATTATAATTAGGTTAAGAAATACCAGCTTCATTCTGAGGTGAGTTTCAAGAATGTTTATTTCTAAATTTTATATTTTCATATTTCATGCAGGCCGCTACCAACCGGGTAACATGGAAAGCATTGGGGGAGGCCTATGTTCAGCAGTGGACGTCCTATAGCTGAGATGATGATGATGATATTTTCATGATTCAATTCATATGTAGAGAGCGATCACATGACATGCCTGTTAGTAGAGCCACCAACCTCAACGTATGAAGAAAAGCACCTTTGGGTTGTCGGAGGAATTTTTCAGACAGATGTCTTATCATTGAAGTCACAAGTCTCGTGTGATCGCTACTTTAACGAAAGTTCTTAGTTAAATTATTAAGAAAATTAAGTGTAACATGAATTATTATAAGTGTGTGTTGGTATTTCAGTGGGCAGCGACACCAATTACGACGAGTCGACGTCGTGTGTTCCTTTCATATCAGAATACACTGACTGTACTTCAGGTAAGAACATTGTTTTCCAATTTAAGTATGATTACCAATTTGTTCCTCATTTTCGTACTTACATAATGACAGTTTAACTTTCTCCAGTGTCTAACTTAGCCCTCAATGGTTAGGGTTTTTGGTGTTCATATGGATAATTTTTATTTTAAAGACTAATTGGGACTGAACAGTCGTTCCCATATTGATTTCGGGTCGTTAAGCTGACGACAGATAGTTGAGGTGCTTTCGAGTGAAAATCTCACAACGATAGACCATTCATTTTTAGAGATGAAGTAGATCTTTGTATTAAATTGTAGTTATTGGGTTGTAATAACCTACCTATGATTTCAGAGAACCGATGCAAAGGCTGTGTCAAATGCTTATGCCTGGCCGACGCCACATGGTCATGTACCGACGTCCAGGAGTGCCCCGAGAAAGAATCCGAGTACCAGCTCGAGGACTCTAGCATAGATGACGTGCTCAACGAGATCCAATACAGTTAGTATTTCCTTTGTTTTCTCAATGAGGGCTAGGTGTACTTAACAGTTGGAAACACTGGTGATTGAGTTGTGATTGACGTGACCCTACTCATCGTGGCGCCATCCTGGTTTTTTATTGGACAGTGGGCAAGAGGGAGAGGATAGTGAGTGCAAATGTTGGCGCATACTATACTCAACATCAAATAAACCGCACCTTCCGCGACGCGAACTTTAACGATTTTCTTCTGACACAATCATGGTACCCCAACAATATTGGTGTTATTTGAAAGCCCAATAAATATCCTTAAAGAAAAACACATTTAATTTCTTAATAAATGATTAACATATACCATAAATGTGACTTGAAAAAATACCTCACTTTGGGCCCACCTGTGGGATCAATTAGACCAATTTTTATGGTTATAAAACCAAATAATGATTTCACGTGTCCTTTTTAACAGATGGATAGCAATTAAACCCAACTTAACAGTTTTATAGCCATAAAAGTTGGCTCTAGCGTAACTACATATTTTTTGAAGAAGTGACTCTGGATTCTTCTAAAGACACATTTTTGGGGTAAAAACCTTTCCTTTAATGAAATGAAGGTTAGAACTAGGCTTTTAAATGGTACCAATATTGGTGGGAAGTGGGGATGCATACGTTTGAAAATGCTTGTCGCGGGAGGTGCGATTTATTTGACGTCGAGTGTAGTTGGCGCCACTATCTTCACCACTAGCATGTGACAGTGACCTTACTCTCAGCAGTGGTTCTTAACCTTTAAGTTATGAGACCATTTTACCAAATTTCTGTCTTGTCAGGGACCACCTCATAATCGGTCAAAACCAGTTTCACTGCAAAAATCAGTTAAAAGTGGTTTTGACCAAGGTGTGCAAGTGCACATCGTGGACCACTTGGAATGCCTCCAGGGACCACCAGTGGTCCGCGGACACCGGTTAAGAACCACTGCTCTACAGTGAAAGAAATGAAATCTTAATTATCTACCTAAAGAGAACTTGCGTCAATAGTATTGAATTTGATAAAGTACTTAGTGTAGGATAACATTGCTGATTTTGGAAACAAGTTCCATCAAAAGGACTTATTATATGAAAAGATATTATATCGAACATTCTTAAAATGTCTGAAAAATTAAATATGATGATATTTTTTACAGGAATGAGTAATAATTACAATCCGAATAACATGTATATTCCGGGAGCAGCCAAGGGTAACTCCAAGACATCCTTCGTGCCTCGTCCTCCAGAAAAGGATAGCGATCTTCTTTTAGGTAAGAAAGAAGATTCAAAACTATCTTCTGTTTTTACAATAATTCTGTGTATTATCGGGCACAGTTCCAGCTACGCAATTCCGGTCATGTCTTCTCGTTTTATCGCAAAGAATCATCATTTGATGAGAGCGAGAGAAAAATGGAAATGGGAAGCTGGAACTGTGGCCCACAGTATGCACTTACATTCTATACGTCACTGTCGCTGCACTCGCTGCTACAACCTTTTCTCTGTTACTGAACTTTAAAGGACTTTTTGAGATTTCACTAGTAAAATAAATTATGATTTAACTGCTTTCAGGTTATATCATTGCCGTTCCTAAATAAACCACGATGCACGCATTTTCTATAAAATACAGCACATATTGCACGAAAGTCTAATATTTCTTTCACTTCCCTTAAAACCTAAAGGAATATGGTAAGATTGTGTTTCTGATTATTATGAGAATAATTCTTTTAATTAATGAGGGTAAGGAATTTCAGGTTTTGGGCCAAAGAGTTTGGAGTCAAGCATAGCAAGTTTGTTGCGCAACAAAAGATCAATTGATAATGCTAACAATACGGATGCAGTCAAATTTTTTCACACTGTTGATGAAATAAATGAAGGTATGTAAATTTTATATGATCCTTTTGATATGAAGCTAAACTAGCCTGTAGTACTTGACAAATATGGTGATAATAACGAAGTTTCATTGTAATTAACTACTTAGTGATGTGAAAAAACACTGTCATTAAGACAATACTATTTGTGCATTGTGATACATTTCTATAAGCAAAATATTGTATATCTTTATGTATATTTTCAGATACTTTGAAGCTCGGGAATGTATCAGGGACTCTCCAAGCGCACAAAGTTGACGGCGTTATCTCTCCAAAAATATCTCGCAGGACCGGTGTGTTGAGTGACAATGTGTCTCAGAGTTCATTGCACATAGAGTACAACGAACCCAATGACCCTCATATTGCAGATAACAAAATAGATGCGGTCCAGCATGAAGACCAGTTCGAATCATTAAGTCATAACAAGATTCTCACAATAATCGGCAATCACACCCAAAAACAAAAGGATAAAGATCTGTCCAAGCTAGTCGTCAATGAGCTAAAATTCGGCCAAGAAATAATAGGAGATGAACACGCTAAAATCATGTCCAACATTACCTTCACACCAGAAAACGATACGCTTACAGCAATGGCTTTCATTGCTGGTAATCTTTTAAACAAACTTTGGAATATGGAGAGAGATTCTGGGGAAGATTCAGTGGAGACCGAAGTATTAAAACACGAAAAAATATCTGATTTACTAAATTTGTTTAAAGAACCATTGAATTTGAGACAAGAGAACTTCTTAAAAAGTGCTTTAGAACAATTATCAGAGGCTATTGATAAGGACAAGACTCTCAAAAATGTGACGCTCTGTGAGAAAATGGAAAAATCAAAGGGAATTTTAAGGGCAATAAATGGTTCAAACGAAGAGGGAACAACTGAAAAGCCTCATGATAGTGATAATGTTGACAATAAAGAACCTAGTTCAGAAAACAACTCTGAGGTTGCTACAGAAGCAATTACTAAGATAAATAATGTATTAAGTCTGATTAATAAGTTTCAAAAAGTTCAACAAAATTTGAATAATTTGAAACAGAAATCAAAAAGTAATAGTGGAAATGTCAAAAGAAAAGCTAATAAGACCAAAATACCTACGGAGCTAAGTTTATCAAAAGATGAAGCTTCATCACTAAATATTTTTGGTACAATTTTAGAAAAAATCACAAAACTATTGATGCCACCTAAAAAGAGTAAAAAAATGGCAAAAAACATACGGAACCAAAATGTTTTCAAAAACAACAACGAAATAGCAGCCACATTGAAACATCTGTATAATATTGATGTAGATGGTTCAGATTTGACATCTAAAGACAAACTTATATTTGATTATTTATCTACGGTAAAGAGAAACCCCAACTGTATTCTAGAACATTTAAAGGAAGGCAAACAGAGTCCTATAACCAAAACAGAAGGGGATATATTATTAAATCTCTCCGAATTTTTCAAAATTAAGTCTTTTGTTGATTTGCTGAAACTTCTTGAACCGGAAAATAAATCAAATGTACGGAGTTCCAACTTAACAACGACAAGTAAACCAGAAACCACCATCACCTCCGAAAGAACTACGACTAAAATTACTACTACAACTGAAATCTCGACGAAGCTAGCGAATACTAAACAGAAACTCAAAGCTCATCTCAAAAATATTATTGATGATTTGATTGAAATTCAAAATGCTAAAGGCCATCCTACAAATAACATAAGCATTGTAGATGCGTTACCTTGTATTTATAATATGCTCAATGCTGATCAAAATGTACAGAAAAAGTCATCGAAAAGCAAAGCAAGTACTGTATCACCAGTTGATAAAGTAACAGCGATATTTCATGCTTTGAAACAGGACCTGATGTCAACCCAAACTCGCAGAAGCAACGTCATAACCGGTGAAAGACCGAAATCAGCTGTCGTTTGGGAAAGAATTATCAAAAACTTTGATAACAAAAATAAACAGAGCGCTAGACGCCACTTAGAAATTCAAGAGCCCAAAACCTTTGAAGAACTTAAAAATCTAGTAGACAAAATTGAATCAACTTCAAAAACCTACAAAAATGATGCTTTAATGAACGGAGTGCCGCCATCAGAGCGATTAGTTTTGCTCAAAACTCTATCAGAAGATGTCAAACAATACATAAGTGTCCTAGAGGATATTGATAACTCTTTGTTCAACTTGGAAAATATACCTGTAGATAAGAAAACTGAATTGAAAGATTTTATAGACAATTCAGCAACAAATCTAAATCTGAACGAAAGAATTGCTAAAAATATTAATGAATTAAAAGTGAAAAGCAACACACAACAGGAAAGTTCGGCTAAAATAGTAAATAATCTTAAAGAAAAATATGTTCAGAAACACTCTATGAAACTTTTAGATATAAAACCATCGTATGAAAGGAAAAATGTTAAATTGTCTAGAGATTCTATCATTAACCAGTTGATCAAGAACCGAATGGAATTGTTCATCAAAATTAAAGAATCCAAAAACGTAGATCTTGAGAGTGATATGAATTATTCTATTGCTAAAAAGATTTTGGTGTATCTAGAGAGCGGTAATTATACTATAGCAAGAGAACTGTATAAAATCATTGTGTCCCAGAAACAGAAAACTAACGATCAGCCGCCAGCTGATAAGAAAACAGGTATTTGATTCATAACTTTGTTACAATAAAAATACTATATTGACACGACAAATGAGTCCCACCATGACGCGGTAATTTCCAGTGAATTGAATTTGTTAACAGGATTTCCATTTCTCATAACTCTAATATAGGTAGTTCTTCTCCAGGTAGACTTTCTCCATCATAATCTTACATAGAAAACATCGCTGCAGCCTGAATAATCTCTTAATTTCACATTTCAGTGCTAACGTCAGGCAGAAGGTCATCAATTCTCACCAAAGAGCCCGTGGTGCAGTTCCAAGAGCCAAGGGGCCAGAGTCAACTGCAGTGGCTCAACCAGGATATCTGGTTGAAGCAGCTTACTAACTTGAAGAACATGAGATCATAAAAGTTTTTGTATTTTTATACGTTTTTGATAAATGTTTTATAAGAATACCTTGTTTTATTGACCAGCGTCAGAATAATCCACACTAGCTACTCGTACCTATCTAAACGCCTAAATCCTACATTATTTGGGTGTTTGAAATAAGATGGCGGTTAAAGTTATAAATGGTTTAAGACCTATTAGGCCAGGTTTTCGATATATTTAGTGGACTGTATTTCTGCGGATGCCTAAACAGATGTCTAAATAAAGAACGCAGTTGTAAGCTTGCAAATACTGAACTAGGACGAAGAAAATCAAGAAAATAGCGACAGGAATGAAAGGGAAACATGTGCACTTATAAGCTTGCAAATACTGAACTGGGACGAAGAAAATCAAGAAAATGGCGATAGGAAATTTGGAAGGGCAACATGCACTTACCAATAATATCTTCGTCTGGTACTCTTCAGGTCTTGTCAGTCACAAATCACAAAGTAAACAAGGGCTGTAAGCACTTGACAAATTAGTGTACTTCAGACAGCTGTCTTGCACAAAATCGATAATATCGGTCACGCACAAAATAAGGATACGTCTGTCTCAGCGTAGGCGCAAAATTGTAAGAGGACGATGTCCGCTGTATGAGTTGCACTTTCGAAGACCGCGGCGAAAGATAAAGACGGCCATAGCAAAAGTGCACATGTTGGAAAGGAATGGGAGATGACAGGATTGAATTTTAAATACTTGCAAGCTTACCCTACAGTATTTTTATTTTTGTTAATAACCTGTCCTCGCAGACTGCAAACTTTTTATCGACCAATAGTTTGATCTTTAACGATTGTGTACAGTGCGATTGCAAAATTGTTACATAGTACTTCCTTAAACACGTCCTCTGTTTTAACATTCTAGTAAATAAAAATATCTTGCCTTTGTAGGTTAAGTTTAATGTTTAATTTGTATTTATTTATTTATTAATACAATCAAATAATGACGAGAAGAATCTAAGAATAAAGAAAGATCATCTATTGAGTCTTTCGGATATTGTTATCTGTCTTCATCGTTGTAGCAACCGACATTATTTTGTTTTTCTTATTAGATTCTGAAAACAAATGTAATGTTATTGGAACCACCAGTTTTTGTATTTTTTACATTAATTAATTACTTGCGGAAATGTATACTTACTTTTACTTTTCCTCTTTGCTGAATTTGCTCTTCCACCTCTCTGATTAGATTTAGCTTTGTGTTTGGTAGAGTTCATACCAGAACTAACCTTGCCTCTCAGGTATTTCGGCAAGATATTTTTTATGCGAGTTCCTAAGTTCTCTAAACCAAACACTGATCTTCTTTTTCTAGTAATATCTAGATTATTCTGCCACTTCTGCATCACACGTTCATATTCCATAAGTTTCTTCTTTGTCATTTCGTTTAGTTTTTTCTTTGCAAGTTGCTTAACTATTTCTGATTTAGGTACTTTTCTGTGTAATAGATTTATGATGTCTCTCTTAGAATTTTTCAGTAAATCCCTTATGTGTCTCAAAAAGGTTTCTTTTTTGTTCTGTTTGGTGACTGTGAAAACCTTAACAATTCCATTGTCTCTGTTATTAAACGATCTCAATTTAATAATTTCATTGATTTTGCCATGTATTGATTTCAAGTCGTTGTTGATTCTTAATATTTCGTGATCGCTAAGTTGGTCTGGCAATGCAATCATACGTCTGCTGTGAGCAAAGTCGATCAACGCAAGTGCATCTCTCATCTTGTTGATGTCCGAATCTAAGACAAACTGCAACAACTTCATGTGATGTAGCCGATCCCAAGGTGAGCTGTTAGAAATCTTTATCGTCATCTCCTTCCATTTGGAACCAATGTTCTTCAAGTCATTAGTTAAATTGTAATTAGAATCGTGAACTCTAAATCCTAAGACAGATAAATCTTTCAGCTTGTTATTTTTTATCACTCTCTTTATTATCTTTCTTGTTTTTATTGAGAGCGGAGCTAGAGCATTGCTTTGAGGCATATTCCGATCTATAAGTAGTAATATATTTATCAAATAGTTTTTAGCAAAGTTTTTAAACGTGTAGGCGTTACTATGTCTTCTTAGATCATAATCATCATTTAAAGATCTAAGCTTATGTTTCTTGTGAGTTTTCGTGTGGTTACGCATAAAATGTTTTATAGCATGTGTCAGTACTTTTAAGTCTTTAGGAAAATCTTCTTTGCCGGTTATTGTTTGAATACTTATAAGGTCTTTTATCACGACATAGATATCTTTTCTAAGTTTCTTTAGATAGTTGTCTAAAAGGTCGATTCCGGCTCTTGTTGCGACGTTATCAGTTTGAGGCACTATCTGTACATTATAAAAAGAAATGTATGAATTGCTGCCATTCTCAGCTTTTTCACTTTTGTTTAAAACTAAGTAATCACTGTTAGGGCCAAGGTTCAAAATTTCAATCAGTTTTTCTCTAACGTGTAGCAAGTCTTCCAACTCCTTTTGCTTTTCTTGTATAATAGAAGTTAAGGGGAGATAAACGTTATCTTTAAGTTCTATACTACTATTAGTGATATTAATTTTCTCAGTAATAGTGACGTTAAGATTATTTTCTGTCACTTGTTGAATGTCTCGTTTCATAAGATTAATTGCATTGAATTCATATACACTATCATTGTTTTCAAACCCTGTATCGTTTAGTAGATTTATTTTGATATCTGTCTCATTTAGATCTAAAATAAAAATGATATTGTAAATACAGAAAATAAATAATGGAATCTTTATATTTAATCAAATAATTTATACATACCGTTCCCTGTTGTCCCTATTCTTTTCCTGGCTAACTCAAGCAGATCTATCACAACTTTGGTGACAGCCTCTGTTGTGGTAGTTTCTTTGCCTTCTTCTATGGCATTTAGGATGTTTATGAATTGGTTTACTCCTCTCATTTCTCTAAAATCTTCAACTGTTATATTTAAATCGTCAAGTTTCATATAATCGTGTTCTAGAGTGTCGTCATGAGTTGTATTTAAAGGTTTTCTTCTGCTGTAGTTCTTGCCTTCGATAGCTACGTCGTGAAGTACATCGTCAAATACTACGTAATCTGGTACCATGTTTATAATTTCATTGTTCTTGCTTGTAGTGGTATCTGGAAATTAAGGAACGTGTTTGGTAATTGCATAGACATCATTGTTTTTTATACGTGTAATAACTCTACTTCATTATGTTGATTTTTTTTATATGATTCTTTATGACGATAATAAATAAATTAACGTTTTGTACCTTACCTTCGCTAACTGTAGTTAGTACATCAACTTTGCCTTCAGTAGTCCTGTCTACAACACTTGCTTCTGTTGTGATACTGCTTCTAGCATATTCTTTATATTTTAACGGTTGTACACCGTACAGCCATTCTGTTAGCTCTTCGAATGTTATCTTTTGTTTGGGAACTGAGGACGTGGAGGTATTCGTTATGGATCTTTTCAACCTAAATGAAGGGTTTCCATCTGGAAAAAGTAAGTTGGAATTAATTGGATAATCTATTTTACAATTTGCAAGTGTTCAAAGTAATGCAGACTACCTAAGTGCACTATTATTAGGTTGATGTAGTAGACCAGATGATTTTTGACCATTTTGCAAGGACTCGTTTAATGTTGATGATAAACATGATTTTTGTGTTACAGATGTTAAATATAGGGCTACAAAAAAATGGAAGAATCACTTTCGGGGAAGAAAGTTCCCTGCTTTACTCCAAGATTCTGCGTTGGTAAGCGATCCTTGAGTTCTGAGGGACTACACGGAAGGCCTATGTTCAACAGTGGGCTTTTAGAAGCTGATGATGATGATAATGATGTTGCTATGAAAGAACCAATAACAAATGTTTATTATACCTCCCCTTAAAGTCTCCACGGCGATGACAAGCGCGCGGTGGTCCACCTCCAGAGGCTGCTCGGGCCTACAGCGCCGCACCGAGCTGCAGTTCCACCGGCCGGCCTCGTCGCAGGCGCAGGAGTGGCAGCCCAGGCAGATGTTCTCTGGTTGTAGGGCAAATAGAAATGAAATTAAAGATAAAGATAAAGATACATTTATTTGTTCAAACATGTGTACATAAGGTGTTAAGTCAGCATTTAAAATGGTATCAACATGTCGTACCTACCTTTGCGGTGTACAAGTTAAATTAAAAATAAAATATCAATTACAATAATACTGCATAATCAATCAAATCAAATTAAAGTTAAAGTCAATGTTGCATAATCAGATTAAATGGAAAAAAAAATATTAAGAAGTAAATCAAAATTTGTCACTTAGGAAGTCCGTCAGATTATAATAACATTTTTCAATTAATAAATTTTTAACCTTCATTTTAAATTCATACAATTCTAATTTTTTTATTGTTAGGGGATGTTATTGTAAATTCTAGGTGCCATACATAATATAAATTGTTAAGTCTTTATTAAAGGACAATGTTCGTTCTCCATACATTGTTCGCCTAAGAACCAACAATTTTGACATATTACTACCCGAAAGCGAAATAATACGATTCTGTGTGTAAGAACAATGATTCCTGATGGACACTTGCCATAAAATTAATGATTAAGAATATTAAATCACAGCGATTTTATAATATGTCGTTTATGACAACATGGCGTCTAATGTATTGTGTGAATGTATGAACACCGATTCGCGAAAAATGTTTTGTATTGTCGTCACGCCGAGTCGCAGCCAAATAGTATAAAATAATAGAACAAGTTTTAGAAATACAACTCGGCATTCCACTTTTATAATATGCCCACATATTGCACGTAAATAAACAACATGAATCGTAGGTTGTTTCCACCCTTGTCATCTGACACATGAAATAAACTCCTATTGTATTATAGATATCGAAGCCGAATCGTATATATGTCAATATCTTTTTAGCTTTTAACGCAAATCTAGTCTTCAAAGCAGTTTAATCGATTTATTTTATTTTCAAAATCGATATTTTATTGTCTATGATGGCCGCAGGAACATCACTATACATGGACTCCCAGCAATAAAGTACGGTAATGCCTCGTACAGATTTTATCGGCAAAAATTATGGAACTTGATAGGTTTTAGACCATGCCACGCACCAAAACGTCCGGAAGTTGTAATAGTATTATAGAATAAACGTTAAAAGACTTATTTATTTAATTTTTCAATGCTTAAGTGTCCATTAGAATGAATGGGTGCTTAATGTATTAAAAAAAATAGAAAATAATTATGATGGGTTAATGTTTTTGGGCGGTTTTTAGGCGGTTTCTGACAATGTCCTTTAGACCAAGAACACTTAGGTTGGTAGGTATGCTGAGTTGCACCAACTTACTTTAACCGTAATTATAAAAATAACCCGTGGTTTATGTATGGAGTTTGACAGATTTAACTGTGATGATTCCCGCCTTAGGCAGTTCGATTTTTTCAAGTTATTTATAATTTTCAAATTAACTGTGACGTTTGTTAAAGTCAAAAGTATGATGGTACAACTCAGACTTAGGCCGCCTTCAAACCAGAGGCATGAGAAAGCACAGTTGTAGTGCCACTACCGTGACAACAGGCAAGCAGCAGTGGCGCTGCAACTGCCAACGTAAAAAAAAAACCTTAAAAGATTCTTTACATGAATATTCTTATCTTTTGGGCCCTACTTGGGTTTCGAGAAAAGAATGACGAGTTGTACAGCAGCCTAGCTGGTGAGATTGTTCCTTTATTATGTTTTTCTCTAATGTAAGTACTAACCTTTAGTGCAGTCTGTGTATTCGGAAATAAACGGCACACAGTCTTGAGAAGGGGCAAGGAGATTGGCTGCTGAAACACAAAATACCATCTATTAGAAGGGAGCATTGTAGCCACGGCCAGCCCATTTGTCCAGAAGTGGGACATTATAAACTTTCCAATATAAGTGTTGTTCCTACTTACATTGTTCAGCCATCCCCATCATCAAGGAGTCCACCTGGATCTTCAGTTCAGGGTTGGTGGACTCTGCAGGGCTTTCATCATCCACCAGCATTTCACTGGTGACAATATAGAACTCACATCTGTGGAGATATTGTCACTTAGGAGTTAAATTGTTTGATGGAGGAAATAATTAACCAATTTAGGATTCTTAATTAAAATTCGATCAACCAGTCATTATGGAAATCATTGTGAGAGGCTTACGTTCAGCAATGGACGTGCTATAGCTGAAATGATGAATGAAAATTCATATTTTAAGTTTTCAGTAAGAATCTTTCTGCCACTTACTCCCGAGTGAAACCGCGGGCAGTAACTAGTAAAAAATATAACACAAAATGTAGTGGTTCTATTGTATAGTATAGCTCTATAACAGTGCTTTGTAACGATGCCGTAACTCACGGGCACACTGTAAGCCTAAACTGCGATAAAGTTTGTTTGTACACCAGTAGCAGTGTTAGGCTTGATACACGTGACGAGAATGTATGGGAAACAGCGAAATATTAACTCTTCATAGGAAAATACTGACAGAAAGAAGTAAATACAGCCAGAGATGCATTAGAGTCTAATGATTTGACCATCATCATTATCATATGGGTCCACAGCTGGCAGTTCAAAAGAGAGATGACGATTTGTGCTTTGGACTCTTCCTACACAACAATATACATGTTTTGATTAATTTCGTTGTGGGTACCAAGACAGAAACAATCCTCCAGGACTACTAACCTTCACTGGCTGGCTATGAAGGAGTTGCAGTGGTGGAAAAGATAGATGAGATCAGTTCAGAGTCTTAGAAAGGCTTCCCTAAACTTGCCATGAAGATGTATTAGCTTTCCACTCTTGCCTTAGCTAGCAATTTTGAAACTTGATGCTCTAGCAGCTGTATTGTCTTTAGCATCTTCGAAAAAGAAACCAAAAGCACATCTAATGTACCACTTATAGCAAAAGTTTTGGACCTGGCTTGGTTCATGCTCAGACAGTCGTTCTCCCCGTAGCAGATTCTGCAGTCCTCGTCATCAGCTCTTCGGTTCGAGTCCGGTTTGAAGTATGTGAACACATCTTGCTGTGCCGCCACTGACACTAGAAACAAAGTTATACGTCATATAAAAAAAACATTATACAGGATACTTGGGCTAAGTTCTTTGGTTACTAGGGCTTCGTTCTGTGGCACTACTTAGCGCATTCTAGCAGTATATTCTCTATGTGTTGCAAAGCACCACAAGTTTTCACAAACAATGCTTGCTTAAGTGAAGCAGCAAATCGAATGCACAGCGTTTAATAGAGCTCTGTGATTGGTTTGTGTGTCACACTGTGCGTCCACGCGCACTGTGAGACCTCATAGTAATGTTTGTGAATACGGGCGTTAATCTGTATGAATATAAGCGACTATATCCACAGCACGAAGTTAAAACGCAACGTAATCTCTTCTAAAACTTACCGTAAACGGTCAAGCCAAGCACGGCAAGCGCGGCAGCCATGGCGAGTGAGGTGCGCGCGCGCCGCGATAGCGGCAGTCAACCGGGCACGGAGCGGACTTGGAGATGAAGGAAATACCAACCACATGGCAACCGCTTTATAGTGGGTAAACATGGCCAAACCCACAACTTCCCGATAGAAAATATGTCTGTTGGTCATGAGACACTCCTCAGATTAACGCTGAGTGACAGAAGTTAACAGTAACTGTAACCATAACCGGTGTTTTTTTTTATGGAGATTGGCACACTTTTAACGATTGTCAAAGTTAAAGTAAGTAAGATGGTGCAAGCCAGCCTTAAAGATTTCTGCAAGTGAAAATCAAGTTACGATGATTATTAGCTTTCACAAAATGTCGATCTCTCAATTGAAAATCTCTCCCAACTTTAAAGATTGATAATGATACAATAGTATTTGTTGTTCATGACTATTGATTCAGGATGTTTGTTGTTAGACATCCCAAATCCGGCTCTGGTGGGCAAACGTGAAATTTTTCAAATGTTTACAAACAGCGCGGCGGACGCGCGGCGGCAGCGCGCCACTCGCTCGGACGATGCTGATCCTGCTGGTGGTGCTGTGGCTGCTTGGGGTCCTGGCGAGAGGTGAGTGGTTCCAAGAGATCGGCGACAATCACTCAGGTGAGCGAGAGGTGTCCAGGAGACTTGGGGTTATCATTAGAGGCAAATGAGGAAAGTGGAATCAGGACACGTGTTGTAGTCGTTTGAGCAGAATGGCTTTCAGGAGAATTGGGGCAATTGCTCGTGGTGAGTGACGAGAGTGGCAACCAGGAGACTTACATAATTCGTTCGGACTATGCCGATCCTGCTGGTGGCGCGGCCACACGCTCTTTGGCCCGTTAGCTAGAGGTGAGTGGCTTCCAGGAGTGTTGGAGCGAACGCCGGAGGTGATTAAAATAAGGAGACGTCCGGTAATGGCTTGACACGAGCGAGTAAAGTGACATCTTGGAGTTTTTCAGCACTCACTCGGACTATACTGATCCTGCTGATGGTGCTGTGCTGCTCGAAATGTTGGAAGGGGTGAGAGGCTTCCAGTAGTGTGAGTGGCTCCAAGAGATCTACGCCAATTACTTAGGTAAGCGAGATAAGTGGCATCCAAAATATTTGCGGCGATTAGAGTGGCTTTCAAATCAGCAGACGTGAATGGGGTAATCGCTTGACACAGATGAGCAAACTGACATCCATGAGACATCCTGCTGGTGATGCTGTGGCTGCTCGGAGTCCTATTGGTGAGAGGTGAGTGAGAGTTACAGAATCGCTGGAGATAAGAAACGAGAGTGGATTGAAGAGCCTTGCAGTAATCCCTGGAGGAGAGTAAAAGTAAAAGAGTGGCTACAGGAGACTTGCAGCAGTTGTTCGAAGTGAGTGAGGATAGTGGTGGCAGGAGAGTTTAAGCAAATGGTACGAGGTGAGAGAGGAGGGTAGTGGCAGAAGACTTGCGGATTGCCGCACGTCTCCTACCACTACACTCGCTAGCTAGTAAGTAGGTAAGTAAGTAATAAAGTCTTTATTGTGTATGAAAAAAGGTTACAAGGGTTCTTATAAATAGCTATTGAGCTAGAGGCAAATGAAGTCAAGACTGGCATAATATATGGAGACTTGCGCCAATCACTCGAGGTGTGTGAGAGAGATACCAGGAGAAGGACTAACTGGAAGTCAGTCCTGAATGAGATATAACATTTTGGGAGCCGTTTTAGGGTTCCGTAGACCTGACAAGGAAATAGTCCCGTTAGCCCCTGGCCTCGTGGTAACCTAAATATGCTTGTGTTACGAGTGGGTTCACCACAATACTCGAACGGGCTGGGATTAAATCCGCGTTCCTCGGATCATAAGTCGCCCTGACCTTCACTATTCGTCTATCATCGCTAAAAGATCGTCCCGTTGCAAGAGAGGCATTATAAATCAACTAAAATTCTTTACGTAGTAGGTAATCTCATACTTCTTTAACCAATAACAAAAATGCATATCCGGCATACGAGTACGTCTGCCGTTTGCACGACCGCGTCAATTCGAAGAAGTAAATAGTAAACAATCTTGCCGTAGTGGTTGTTGTGCAACACCACATTGTATCTCGCGTCATCAGTTGTCATTGATTACAATGGTTGCATGTAAACAAATAAACAGATTACGATCGTACACTAAAATACTACGCTATGACCAAGTGAGAGCCGGAATTGAGTAGAGTTCTGTATGGCTGTACAATCTATCACCAAGGTTGAGTTACACCACCTTATTTTAACCGTAACAAAAACAATAATCCGTGCTCTTTGTATGCAGTTTGACAGATTTTGACGTTTGTGAAAGTTAAAGTAAGATGAATTAATTAACCATTTGTAAAGTACACCGGTGTAAAAAAACTTTTATAATAATTATTATTATCTGTAGTACAGATTCTGTACATCTTGAAGGACATTTTTATTTGGGGCAATAGGTACAGGGAATATAACTTATTCTTTTGGTAGTAGGTATGGAACCCAAGACGGAAGGAATTGCTATCTTCCAAATGTAGCGCTTTGTTCGTGCATTTACTTGTCCGAAGTTGCTATTATACCTACCTACTCTATATTTATTCAAGTAGGTACCTGTGTTTTATCTTGCCCCAGTAGCGGCGTAAGGGGGGGGCGGTGCCGCCCCGGGTGCCAACCTATGCTACGCCGCCACTGTCTTGCCCTTCTAATCGCAAACTGATAGCTTGGATATTAAAAGCTTTGCTTAAGTAACTGGTGCATGGTGGTGTGATAAACATGTATTCAATAACTCGTGTGTCTTTAAATCGATTGTCTTACAATTGACAATCAATTTGAATACTTTAAAATCGAGTAAACTGACAATGTTAGTAAAAAGTGCGGAAAACCGCGGGTGTTTTAGAAACAGATCACACAACTCAAAACAATAGCTACTTACAAATTGTTGGTTTTTCGTGACACAGTACCGGGTTCGATTCCCACGGCGGTGAAGAAACAATGTTTTGCGTAAGAATCCATTTAACGGATTATGTAGTAAAACTAGATTGAGGAAGTGATTGATTTTATTGAAGAAGCGTTTCGGATTGTGTAATAGTTGTTATAATTTAGAAAAGGAGGACAATTAGTCTGTTCTCGATCCTATTTTTAGGGTTCCGTAGCCAAAATGGCAAAAACGGAACCCTTATAGTTTCGTCATGTCCGTCTGTCCGTCTGTCCGTCTGTCCGTCTGTCCGTCTGTCCGTCTGTCCGTCTGTCACAGCCGATTTACTCGGAAACTATAAGTACTACAGTGATGAAATTTGATGGGAATATGTGTTGTATGAACCGCTACAAAATTATGACACTAAATAGTAAAAAAAAGAATTGGGGGTGGGGCCCCCCATACATGTAACTGAGGGATGAAAATTTTTTTTCGATGTACATACCCGTGTGGGGTATCAATGGAAAGGTCTTTTAAAATGATATAAAGTTTTCTAAAAAACATTTTTCTTAAAGTGAACGGTTTTTGAGATATCAGCTCTCAAAGTCGTAAAAAGTATGTCCCCCCCCCTCTATTTTTATAACTACGGGGTATAAAATTCTAAAAAAAATAGAGGTGATGCATGCTAATTAACTCTTTCAACGATTTTTGGTTTGATCAAAGTATCTCTTATAGTTTTTGAGATAGGTTGATTAAATTGACATAATAAGTTTATTATATTTGCTGCTACGGAACCCTTTGTGCGCGAGCCCGACTCGCACTTGGCCGGTTTTTTTTATTATGTGAACATCGTTATACATTTTTATAGTCGATTATCATCAAAAACACCAAATATTTAGTCGGTTTCGGGGCTGAAGAATAGTAGAGCACATTTCATCTTGTGCTATCGTTTGTCTGTTTATGAAATGTGTTACGGTGTGGAAAGGTTTCAGATTTAGACTGTAGTCTACTTTCGTACGATGTATGTATTTTGTGCCCCATGTGTTAACATAATAAGACTGAAAATATGCATAACAGTGACTTTGCTATTATACCTTACTTCACTACCTAGATTTCTGGGTCTGTTTAATTATGTGATTCCTGGTTAAATGTGAGATAGTCTACTTAGAACGGTACTGCAAGTAATAAAGGTACTATTACAGAAGGCCTGATTAAAAATGAGCTTCATTATTTCCAGATGACCCCCAAAAAGACAGCAGATACATGATAAAGCAGATCAGGTCGTGTCCCGACGTGGGATACTTCTTCAGGAGAGAGGGCAGCCCCAACGCCCTGGATGCCCTGTGCCACCTTTGCTTCTGCCAGGACGATGGCACTGCCGTCTGCTGGCCCCGGGAGAACAGGCGGTGTGATGCAGCGCATTACCAGCACGGCGTTGGAAAGAGGTGAGGGGAAGTTCCCACTTATTTCTTCCCACTTAGACGTGGGATACTTATTCAGGAGAGAAGGCAGCCCCAATGCGCTGGATGCCCTGTGCCACCTCTGCTTCTGCCAGGACGATGGCACTGCCGTCTGCTGGCCCTAGGCTGGCCCCGGGAGAACAGGCGGTGCGATGCGGCGCATTACCAGCACGGCGTTGGGAAGAGGTGAGGGGAAGTTCCCACTTATTTCTTCACAGGCGCGAGGGCAGCCCCAACGCGCTGGATACCATATGCCACCTCTGTTTCTGCCATGTTTCTTAGGGCACTCCGCCTGGCCACTGCAGAGAGTGTAGGCGAAATCCTCCATCTGATTGTGGTAAGTATATTATAGAGGTTTATGCTCCTACAGTAGAGACTTAGTAGCTTTTTCCGGCTTTGTCCGTGTGAATTTCGCTCTGTCACAGAAATACTTTGTTGCTCCCTTTAAAAATCGGGATAAAAAGATGTCTTTAATTGTAATGTATTGCTGCCAGTGCTTCTAAATCCTTAATGTTTCAGAGATGCAAGAGTCCGCCGCAGTCCCATAGGCCTGAGTGATATATTCTTCCGCGATGCAGCACGAGACTGTAAGCACGTTATAAAACAAAATATCTATTTTTTATATGTTTATATCTATTGGTAATAATGATTTGTTTCCAGTGTTCAACAAGCAAATGCCCGAAACTTGTAAGCCGTACGAAAGCACTTTCAGCGAGGGATGTCCACCGGGTATGTACCTAATAACAATCAGGGATTTGAATGAGAATTTCAGGCCATATAATAAAATTGGATACTTATTCATTAGATAATTCAATTTATACCTTGATCCTTTGATTTCATTTTAACTGAGTATCTACCTACATACTTTTGGATTAATTGTCGAAATATTCTTTAAGAATATCCACCACTGGTTTTTCTGATTTTAGCGGACTGGTGTACCGGCTGCACAGTGTGCGACTGCAACGCCAACGGCCGCTGGGACTGCCACATCCTCAGCTTCTGTCCCGACAGTAAGCATTCCTGGGATTACGCCCACAAGTTACGCGATTCTTTCAAATCAAAAAACTGCTCTTTGTGCAACGTTGAATCTTTTTTTGCAGAAAAAGATAAAAAAAAACTTAAGACGAGCAAAAAACGACTCAGGGATGGATCTCCTCCTAAAAGAACAACTGTCACAGCGTCCAAGTCTGTCACACCAAATAATAAAAACACTAAGAACCATCCGAAACGTACCCCCACACCTACCACTCCCAAAAAGCCGGCAGTCAACAAAAAGCAAGTGAAAAATAACGGTAAAATTTTACAAAAAGAAAAACAAAACAATGGATATACAAAACAAGTAAGAAAATGGACTCCCAACGCCACTAACACAATAGAGAAAAGAAGCAGTGCATCTCCAAAACCCTTGATTATAAACAAGGAAGTACCCAAGACACCAATTTTAGTAAATGTACCAAACTTAGAAGGGAAAAATGCTGAAATATTTACTCAAGAGGTGTATAAAAAAGTCGTCTTAGCCGTGGAAAAGATGTTAGAGAAAAGAATAGCGGCTGTGCCTAAACCAACAAAACCTACGGGCACACGGAGTCGAAAAATGGTGAAGAGGAGCACAAAGAATTTGAAAAATATAAAGAACGCAAAGAAAAAAGTTGACGGTCAGTTTAAGCCTGTCCCTACTAATAGAAAATATACGAAACCCATACGGCCAAAGAATAATAAGAAAAACGTTAAAAGGAAGTCACCAGTAAAATCTAATAAAAAAGTTGGGAACGGGAAACGTATCAAACGAGATATCAGTGAAAACAATACGACAGAAAAGCTAGTGATTGAATATAGCACCTTCAATAATACAGGTAAAACATTTTAATTGCGAGTAGTATTTCGTCTGTTTGCTCATTCTTAATAACTAATAACTGTTTGAAAGGGTTGCGATACAATTTTATGAATCATAATCACGCAAAAATAGTGGAGGAATGTTAAATCGTATGTTGAAAATATGAACACCACAATGTTGATAAGAGATCTTTGTAAACTCACTAGCATCACATTCTTTCATGATCATGGTATAAAACTTTAAGAGATCTTAGATTACTTGCTTACTTTACTTTGTAGCTCATTCATTTATAAATTGTTTTCTTTCAGACTTTACCGTCACAATTTTACCAAATGCAACTTCATCAGGAGTTGAAGAAACCGTGACTAATGTAACAGGGACGAATAACTATTACAAATACTCAATGATAACTCCATCGCTTTCAACTGCCACTGTAAATTCAGAAGAATACCAAATTGTGTATGCTTCAGAGAAAAATAAGACAACAGACTTCAATAGAACACATACGCACCAAAAAAGAGATAAAGAGAAACATTTCGATGAAATTCAAGCTGAAGTGTTAAATAATAATACCATTATCATAAAAAATAATACAATATCTGAAAAACCCAAATTTTCTCTTGAAAATGTTTCTTCTGACTTAAATGATTTGAAATTTAAGGAATGGTCTCAGATCAAATTGCTTAAACACAGAATTATGAGTGCAAAACAAGTTGGCATCAATGCTACAGTTAGTGGAAATAAGACGTCGAATTTCTCAAAAGCTTATGAAGACTCAGGTGTGAACCAACCTAAGGTTAAAGCAAAGGATATTGCACGAATAGTAAGCCCAACAACCAGAAAATACAATAGGAGTAAAGTTATCAACACGTCAAGATGTAACACAGCGAATTCAAAGAAACGAAGTCCTGAAAGTTTTAGAGAAAGATTTTATCATAAAATTGATGATCTGCAAAATGTCCTGAAAAGGCTGCTGAGTGAATTTCATAAGACGAATAAAACCAACATCAAGCCCAAACCGAGAAGATTTAGTGTAATAAAATATTTGAAGAGGTTTTTTACTAAAACATTCAAAAAATACAAAGGAAAAGGCAAAAATGGAAGCAAATATCAAAATGAGCTCAATGATCACATTGTAAATACAATCTGCGAAAGCTTTAGTGATTGCGACATGAGTCAAAAGAATAACATAAAACTGAGAAATAAACTAAGAGAGTTGAACAATGAATCGTATGTTATTATACGAACTATCAAGATAATAAAAGGATTACTGCATCTATTAGACGTTCCTTCTGAAAATATAATTGATGGTGATAAAAAATTGAATAGCCCTAAAGATAATTCAAATTTTAAAGAAGACATTCATAAACTAAATTCGGTTCTGAAAGATAAATATATAAACAACAATACTCCATTAACGTCGACTCAAATGACTCAGATAAAGTATATCAAAAACAATACTCAATTATTCGTGCAGTCAGTCAGTAGATTTGCAAATATACTGAATGAGATCATAACTATTTTGACAAAGAAACAAAACATCGAAGACAAGAGTAAACAGTCTTTCAAAACGGCTAAAAGAAGTTATGATAACATCAGGAAACTGAAAAATGATACCGACGGAGATTTTAAAAGACTGAAAGGTTTGCTAGTAAAATACAATTTGATTCAGAATACTTTTGTGCGTAAAATGTATAATCTATTGACGAAATTTGAGAAAGTACAAGAGAATAGTACAAAACCGAAGATGAATAAAGAAAACAAGTTGACGACAGCTACCATAGAGCGTTTTTCAAGGAACATTATCAATAACCTAAGGAAACTGAAGAATTTAGCAAAGATGCTAAATTCTAGAAGGAAGAAGAGGAACGCCATGAGAGATGACGATGCTATGGAGTATTTGTTGACTTTGATGGAGTATTTACTGAAACAAAACTATCCGTTAGATGCAGCACCAGGTGAGATTATTAGGTTTTATTTTATTATTTTTATCCAAAACTTATGAATTGATACAATATTACTGGGTTTATTAGAGAATAAATTTTATAATATTACTTAAATTTATCTTATGTTCTTCATATTTCAGTAAACGATGGCATTGATCTATTAATAGAGGCGATAAAAAGTGCACCAGATATCAAACCAATTAAGAAGAAAGTGTTACAATTGCCGGTTAACATCAGAATTTCTAGAACAACGGAGCCCATTCCCTATGGCATGTCCAAAATGGACACCTATTCAGACTCGAGAAAGGCTAGTGATGATAGTGCATACAATGACACCATATCAGATACGAGAGAGCATAGCAGTAATCAAGAAAAAGAAAGTGAGGATTTCAAATATCAGCCGGGTAAAAACATATTTGATAGTGGAGCAGCAGCAAATACTGAAGTTTACTACGAAAAAGGCGAGCCTTCAGCAACTCCAAAGAAATTGATGGATACTACAGTGCCAGGTGGTTTTGGTATCTTCGGAAACGTAGATGAAACTACGGAATATAACAAATTCAAAAAGCTTGAATCCATTGCTAAAGAAAGTAATAAGAAATTCGAATTGTTTAACAGTGATTTAGATGATGACGAAGTAGAAGTGTCTAGCACAACCGTGGTATCGAATCCAGAAACTGAGATGGATAATGCTGTCACTGTCACTATTCCACTGGAGACAACTGAAGGTAATGCTGATGATAGAAGTAAACAATACAACATCAACAGTGCAGATGTATCCGGGAATAGTGCTGGTGACAAACGGGTGGTCTTAGATTGGCTAGATGACGGCTATGAAGACAATAAAGAAGTGAGACAGACTAAAAACGTAACTGTTGCACAGACTGTACCACCAGTGATCACTACAACTAAAGCAGTTCACGTCGATAATGTTAGCACTTTGACGAAAGAAGCGAGTGATGAGGAAGAGAAAAAAAGAATGATGAAGATCAATGTTCATGATGTCATGTTTAAGAAACAAATGGATTTGCTGAATTCTCTGGATTATGGCACTGAAAGATCTGAAGCTGATGACACTGAGTCTAAAGAAGGTGATGAGAGGTACTCCGGCGATGTATTTCCTTCGTATTTTGCGTAACTATGTTACAAAACACACCTTATTGTTTACGTAATTGATCTTATTATCTAATTGGTAGATAACTCATACTTGTGTATACTTAGAAATAGTTGCTGTTTTGAAGAACGTGTGTTTTGATGTTGAGTGTGATGGCATGTCTTTTTGAAATTATGTGAATAGGCATACTATTAAAAAGACGGTATTAAATGCAAGATTTCAGAAAATCGGCACATGAAAAAATTGGATCCCCACGCAAAATTAAATTACGAGAGATCACTTCTTAAAAATCGGTTCGTACACTTACTAAATTGGTCAACTCTTTTACTGATAAAAAGTTGATCAGTTGCTCTACTATTTTCATTAGATAATATTAATTTAATTAAATTGCATTTATAAACTCTATAATATTGTCTGCTGAAAGATTGATTTAAGTGACATAATATTTATAATTACTTGTTTTCAGCGAAGTTTCATGTTATTTCATTATGTTTTAGTTTTATTTATTGTTAATTTAGATAATTTAATGTAGGAACCAAATAGCAAATTAGATTGTAGACTTGTACATATTGTTATTATCCCAGTAATTATAAGTATCACCAATAAACATAATTACAGTTTGTTTTATTTTTGATATTAGTAGATTAAGCACCTTTACTTTTCAAAGATATAACTAAAACCACTAAAACTATGATACTAAACAGCGGGAAGCACCAAGATGCTCGCAACTCAGGATTGATCGCTGTGAAAATCCTTGTGAGATTTTTTTGTCCAGCAGTGGACGGCTTTTAGCTTCAGCCAACGTTTGTTTTAACGTACGAACGAACGGTGGACAATTTAAAGTTTTTTACAATACAAAAAAAGTCAAGAATGAGAATGTCCAGACCTCTACACAATACCCTCAATGTTATTAATAATTTTAAGTGTTACTGAGTACTGTCGCCGCGCCGTAATTTAAAATAATGGCGAAAATAATAATGCGATACCCATGTTTGTAAAGTATAATGTTGTAATGGAATTCCAAGCTCCAATTACAGAATTTATCCGTTCATTTGTGCATTGTGGAAGCCAAGTGGTCGGCCTTGGCTCATATCAGCTAGCAGGTGTTCAGGCCGATCGTTTTGCTGTGGAGGTTTTCCACTTAAAACCGGGTCCTTTAAGACCGGGTCCCCAGCGCGGTTTTGCCCTACACAACCGACAAAAACTTTAAAACATTCAACAAAATTGCTTACAAAAATGTTGAATCTATACTAATAAATGCGAAAGTAACTCTGTCTGTCTTGCTTTCACGCCTAAACCACTGAACCGATTTTGATGAAATTTGGCATAGAGACAGTTTGAGTCTCGGGAAAGGACATAGTTTTTATCCCGGTTTTTTAAACAGGGACGCGCGCGATAAAGTTTTTCTGTGATAGACAAAATTCCACGCGGGCGAAGCCGCGGCTGGAAAGCTAGTGTGGACAATATGTTTTTGGTGACCGTGTAGGGCAAAACACGCGCTGGAGACCCGGCATAAGAAAACAAATTTCCAGTATTCAATTAAAATAATAAGCTAATCTAAGATTTAGTAGTTCTGAAATACAGCATGATAGACAGATTCGGTAAAGGTAGGACTAAAGAACTGTCAACTTTTTCAAAAGCTTGTAGAGCTCCTTTAAGCTAATTTTAAAAGGCAGTACTCAGGCACGGACTCAGGCCTTATTATCATTTAAATTGGATCAAGTTTTAAATGCAAGTACTAAATGCAATCACACGACACTGAGGCAATCTCCCAGCACGTCTTGACACGACACGCCCAGCAGGTATGAAATTTGGGATTTGATAGTGACTATGGGTTAGGTATGTAATCTGTGGATCTATTGAGGCGATTCCTGATTTATAGCCTGACCAGCCCCCCTAGACAAAACGCACTTTTTGATCGAATCGAAAATCGAATCCGTCAAAACTCCATACAAAAAAGGGGCTTTTCGACCACTTTTCGACTGGTTTGCGATTATAATTTGCACTTTGTCTAGACCCACTGGAACATAAAAACCCTGGCATAGAGGCGCGTCAATTGCATTTGATAGTGCAACACTGAGTACAGTCGTACCTGTGTTAAATTAATAGGCTAACTTTATGTATCAGGATTCAGGATTACGGGCTAATTTGATATTTTCATAAATTAACGAAAAAATATTATTATAGGTAACCTGGTTTAAATAAATTAAATGAAACCATCAATCGAGCTAGTAGGATTTATTTTATTATTCATCAATAATCAAATTCAGAACTTGAATATTCAACTGCAATGTCTGCTCATGAACGCTTCAAACTCGGTACTTCTTTCCCAATTCCATAAAATTCAACACTTAGAAAGTGACAAAAAATTTTAAAATAGGTAGTTGAAACAAACCACAGCTAATTTTCATAGTGGACTGTACTATACGATAAACATGTCAGTCAATTTGACAACCTTTGTCGGAAACATTATTCAATGAAAATATTGTCCGAACCCTTAGTATTTCTCTTCGACAAATACTTTAACACATTGTGAACCACTTTTCTTTCACGACTATAAAAAGATTTTAGCAATTTTATTCACAAAATCAATTGCGCAAATTTAAAATAAAGTTTGTTTACACTTTGACAGCAATAGACTGACATGCAAGGTGACATTTCAATTAAGTTTTCAGTTACTATTGCCATTAAAAGAAATTAGTACCATTAGTTTTCCGCAACATGGCGAGGGTTTTTATGTTCCTGGTCAGGCTTATAAAAATGAATATTGGAAAGATTTTTAAATTAGATAGGTAGGTATCTGTAGAAAATACTTTTTTCAAATTTTTAAAATTTTATTTTGAGAAGCATTTCAAACAAAATATGCAGAAAATGGCCAGTATTTGATTTTTATTAACTGTTTCTCGAACAAAAGTAAGTTGTATTATAGCCTGACCAGGAACATAAAAACCCTGGCATAGAGGCGCGTCAATTGCATTTGATAGTGCAACACTGAGTACAGTCGTACCTGTGTTAAATTAATAGGCTAACTTTATGTATCAGGATTCAGGATTACGGGCTAATTTGATATTTTCATAAATTAACAAAAAAATATGATTATAGGTAACCTGGTTTAAATAAATTAAATGAAACCATCAATCGAACTAGTAGGATTTATTTTATTATTCATCAATAATTATAATCAAATTCAGAACTTGAATATTCAACTGCAATGTCTGCTCATGAACGCTTCAAACTCGGTACTTCTTTCCCAATTCCATAAAATTCAACACTTAGAAAGTGACAAAAAACTTTAAAATAGGTAGTTGAAACAAACCACAGCTAATTTTCATAGTGGACTGTACTATACGATAAACATGTCAGTCAATTTGACAACCTTTGTCGGAAACATTATTCAATGAAAATATTGTCCGAACCCTTAGTATTTCTCTTCGACAAATACTTTAACACATTGTGAACCACTTTTCTTTCACGACTATAAAAAGATTTTAGCAATTTAATTCACAAAATCAATTGCGCACATTTAAAATAAAGTTTGTTTACACTTTGACAGCAATAGACTGACATGCAAGGTGACATGTCAATGAAGTTTTCAGTTACTGTTGCCATTAAAAGAAATTAGTACCATTAGTTTTCCGCAACATGGCGAGGGTTTTTATGTTCCTGGTCAGGCTATACAAGTAATTATGCAAAATGTAGATCAAGGAATGTTTTCATACATTAGGTATTATTTTTTAATGTCAAAGGAAGTACAAATATAGAGCCGAAAAAACTACCACTTACTTTACAAGGTGGTAATCGAAAACCAGTGCAACAAAATACTTTCCGGATTCTATACAATTACTGAGTGGCCTTCAGCATCCGTTGAATTAGCTATACCGATTTAATAAGTATGCCCCGCCATAGCAGCCTTTCGCGGCCCGCGCGTTTGACATTTCACTGCGTTTTCGCGCCAAAGCCGCGCGGGTTTGTGTATCCGAACGCGTTTTTGTTTTTTAATTCGCGATCGAAATTTGAATTTGGAAAGAGGGTTGACTGAAAAAAGTTTAGTTAGTTTTAATGGCCGCTGGTGTGATTTGGATTTTGTGATAATGTTTAGTGATTAATTTTTAATGTGAATTTATTGGACTTTTATTGCTGATTGGAGATTTTTCTGGTAAGTAACTTATTATCAAACTTTTATAGACATTCAGGTTGCTTTTGATTTAATGATAAAGGTCTTACATGATACGATACATAACCCACAGGACTAACATGGCTAGGTATTTAAATCACTAGGGCTAATTTTTTATTTTCATTTGTTATCAATATTATTTTAATCAATCTGACTATAGAAATTGATATTGCAAATCAATGTTCGTGCAATTTTTTCCTGAATGCCTCGATGCGAAGGAGGGTAAGTAATGTGTTTTGAGATATTTTATGTAGATTACAATTTTATTAATTACCACGATTAAACGTATTTTATAAGTAGTTAGGTATTATTCCTTTTACTCAAAATGAAAATAAAGGAGTTATAAGCATACCTAACACAAGATTTGTTCTGGAACGTAGGTAGCAAGTAGGTCTAGTTTAGGAATGTAGGTACCTACTATAGAGTGACCTGACATGTAAGTTTGTGAAATTTTCGCCAGTTTCTTGTAAATCTTAACATCCATCCATATGAAATTAGTATGTTAGTACATTACATACCTACTTACATTGTTATGCTTGAGTCAGGTGAACTTTACCGTATCTACATTTAATATTAGCATAGTTTTTATGCAATGCCGGTAGTTTCGAAAGGCTTTGTACTATGTATTTACAATTAATGAATGAATTCGTTGCCTTTAATGGCGGCTACGCTTTGTTTTTTCATTTTATTGTTTATTTCGAATTGTGTAAATGTAAATTAATGTGTACGATTTTACATTTCCTATCCTTCACATAATTATGTTTTAGACAGTTATTACTGGTATTGCATACCATACAAAATTTATTAGGGAAGACAAGATTGATACAGCAAAATTTAGGCGGTCTTATAGCTAGAAAGCAATATCTTCCAGACATTACAGTGGAGGACAGTTTTATTTCCATTCATTAAAGATTACTTAGATGTTTTCTATTTAATCGATAGATCATTATTACATTATCACCTGTCGAGAGTAGCTCATACACGTAAACTATTAACGAATATTTCAAGATGAGCTTTTGTAAAAAAGTTTAGATTTTTAGGTGCTTCGTTAGCAACCTCTACTCTAGTTTACTAAGCGAATTGTCGGACCTACTTGTCCGATGTAGTTACATATCTACCTAGTCTGTCAAGTGAGTTGTCGGACAAGTAGGTACTAGCACAAAATATAACAGAAGACAAATTCCATACTAAACGCGCTCGAGCCACGCACACATAGACACCGCTCCTAGCAAGACTGTCTTGGACGAATGCGAGAGCGACGTGGCGCGACAGACGTTCGCCACACGTTCGCTGTGGTTCGCTTGAGTCACGCGCCGGTCAACCGTCTGTAATATTATTTTGTTTTGCGAAATTGACGAAAATGAGTGAACAGAAAAAGTCGTATCATAATTGTTCGGTATTTGGTTGCTTAAACTCATTATTAAATACTGAATTTTCATTTTTTAAATTACCAGTTGATTCGGGTAGGTAAGTAAGTTATTTATTTGAATTTCAATTGAAATTTAAAGCCAACTCAATTACTAGGAATATCGAATTGTTTTAGAGAGGTTTTAGGAATTATTGGATAACTAGCTTTTGCCCGCGGCTTCACCCGCGTGAAATTTAGTTTGTCACAGATCGACATAAATTATAGCTTATCTGGGGGCACGGCAATGCCCCCGCCAAGTCGAGCGCGAAGCAAACACTGCCGTACCATCCTTTACTGGAACCATTTCGCCGCATTTTCAGGCCCCTATTTGAGAACCTCTGGATAAGACCAGAACGCAGAAATTTTCGTTATCTAGTAAGCTATAATCACATACTTTAAATCCAAAATTTCAAGTCTGTAGGTCATTTAGTTCCGAAGTTAAGCGAAAGCAAAGTTTCGCATTTACGACACTCACTCACTCACTGATGATCATCAAAATAGAACTAGTACTTCCCATTAACTCAGAGGGCTGAAATTTGGTACAGAGTTAGGGTTTAAAGGCCACATAAAGGGAAAACTATAAAAACTAGGAAAATCGAAGATCTGGAGTAACCACATTCATAATCAATACTACTCCGGCCCCGTGGTGTTCGCCTGTATCGCTCACCGCTAGATGGCGCTAGCGCTAGCAAGCGGTGTCCAGATTTTTTTCCTTTCTAGAGAAAGTCGTCGATTAAGTTGAATGTTGTGTAATTTGCATTTCGTTGATTTCGTTTATTATACTGTAAGGTTCGCTTAGGTTATGTTATAATTAAAAACAATCTGATTCGTTGTCCATTTTAAAGGTCGTTGAGTTTATTTGTGTTTAATATCGTAAAAAAATGTTGATAAACGACGACGTTAAATAATTTTGCCACGTTCCACAAAAAGAAGTGAAATCCCACCAAAAACATTCTGTAAAAAACTAGCCAAGTCTCGATGGAGCTGCTTGTTTATCTCTAAAAAGTAATGAAATCTAGACAAAGTCGTGCCAAGTCTATGGTTCCTTACTGCGATTTCTTTATTATTATAGTTAATGTTGTGTGACTTGGCCGTTGAACAATCTTTATTAAGATAATCATACATTATAAATACGCAGCTTTACTGAACCTACAATTGACTGGTTATTGTTGAATCAACGTTTTCCAAGTGGCAATTTTCCATCGTCAGTGGGTAGCGGTTCAGGCGACTGATTGGTGCAATGGTGTCATGGAGCACCTGGTTTTGTCACCCTTCAACGGCCAAGTCACACAACATTAACTATAATAATAAAGAAATCGCAGTAAGGAACCATAGACTTGGCACGACTTTGTCTAGATTTCATTACTTTTTAGAGATAAACAAGCAGCTCCATCGAGACTTGGCTAGTTTTTTACAGAATGTTTTTGGTGGGATATGTTATTCAGGGTTATAAACAATAATACTGTAAAGTTACATCAAAATCCGTTCAGTAGTTTTTGCGTGAAAGAGCAACAAACATCCAGACTCGCATTTATAATATTAGTTGGATAATAGTGTCAACCACTCAACTAAATACTACTTCCTTCTCGTGTATTTGTTTGCAAACTATTACTATTATAACGTACTAAATATAAATAAGTATACGTGGATATCTGTTATTGTCTTTCTTGCATAGTATTAAGAGTAACATTTTTCTATCATAACGAAATAAACACAACACATGACAAGAAGACAACCCTGGCGCGACGGCCGAGCGTGCGAGCGAGAGAGGTATGCAAAGCGAGGTACATACATGAGTTTACCTTCTGTTATATTTTGTGGTAGGTACTAGTTAGATAAAAAAAAGTAAGTAAATTAATTGATTGGTCATGAACTATCCGATTCTTATCTTCGATGATGATGAAGATGATGCATGATTAACTTTGAATAGCATGTTGACGTTGATTAATATCGCTACTAGCTTCTTAAAACGCCTTGGCAGTGTTTGCCCAAAAACTGTCCTTAGCCACCAACCGGTCTTATTGTGGTAGGGCGCCCACGCTTTATGCATATCGTGGACTGGCAGACCACCCACTCGGTTGACCGACGATCTGGTGAAGGTCGCGGGAAGCACCTGGATGCGGGCAGCGCAGGACCGGTCGTGAAAATCCGTGGGAAGCCTTTGTCCAGCAGTGGACGGAATCGGTTGAAACTATAATAAGACTGAAAATTATGGTTATGTAACAAATTGCAAATGTAGGATTTTATCAGGAGTTTCGTGACTTAAAAGGTTGCTTCATCATATTCGGAACCAACCTTCTTCCTAACCAGCGAAAAACTGCATCGAGTGGTCATTATATCAAATCAAAAATCATAAATCAAGCAACTGCACTCAGGAGGATTTGATGAGTGCTACTGACAACGCCACTCTTGTGGCAGAGTTTTGGGCTGACACTGTTTAGGTTTGTTGTCGACACGAAAAAAAAATACGTTGGACAATTAAAACAAAAGAAACTGTTAAATTAACTTGCAGATAAAAAAACTCATTCTTAAAAAGCACATTTAAGATTAGGTACTGTGACCATTAATTGATGTCATGATTTACTTTAATACAACTAAGTACATCTTGCGTCTTCAACAGTCCTGCAATTCTGTACACCGTGTGGTCACTGTACCATGGTGTGCTATACGAGTCCACAATAACATTATTGTCGGTCCTTACGCAATGAAAGCAAAGTGTAGCAGGTTGTGTTCTCGGGGTGGACCACTAAATTAAAGAAATGCCTTATTTGGGCGAAATATGTGACCATGTTTCAATGAAAGTATTTGCCAACAAAGTTTTTATCATTCGAGACTAGGGCTAGCACACTTATAACGTGTCTAGAGCTAATTATGTAGGAGTACCTTATCTATGAACTTTCCTGCCCCAGCGGCCGTCAGCTCTACGAGCTATGTGCCCCGCCCACTGCCACTTGATTTTAGCGATTCTGCGGTGCGGGCTATGTCAGTCACTCTGGTTCTCCTACGGCCGGAAGACGTAGCGTGGGCAGGCCTCCCACTAGGTGGACCGACGATCTGGTGAGGGTCGCGGGAGGTGCCTGGATGCGAGCGGCGCAGGACCGGACTTTGTGGAAATCCTTGGGGGAGGCCTTTGTCCAGCAGTGGACGTTTTTCGGCTGAAACGAGTACCTTATCTAAATATTAATCGAACCCACAACCGAGTTAAGTTGAGGCCGATATCAAAGTATATTTTCGATTTTTAGGGCCAAGACCACTTAAAATATTTCAGAAACTTGCCCACATTGCATCGCACCAACAAGGTTACATCGCGCGTGCATACGAGTACAATATAATAAGTAAATAATTGTATTATTATAGTAAACATTGCAACGGTTACGCGATCCTAAATATTTGTTTCACAATAAGTTGCCAAACGTCGCCTTGGCATTTTCGATGCATGTTGGAACTTGGAAGATGTTATTTTAATTTTGGTTAGTAAAGGTCAATGTTAGAATCATCGCTAGAGGCAGAATCATCATCATGAAAATGCTCAGCATGACTCAAAAGTAGAGTTTGTACACTAGCAACTAGATAA